GCATTAGACTGCGGCACTAATACAAGCCTATCTAGATACATGGGGACCGATGGACCCCTTATGCTGCTATACTTGTCTACAGCCAAAGGCAATATCAGCATTTATCTTTATTATGCACATCGGAGCTTACGGGCCACGAGGTTCTAGAGCGCAATACCGGATATGTAAAGAGTGCATGTTGCGAAAGGACATTCATAGGATCTATGGTCGATGGTGGAGAGAAGGTCCTCACAAACAAGAATACTCGGTTATGACACCTCCTGTGAGAATAACAATCATGGACCAAATTTTCGGCAGAGCGAAGAGGTTGAGAGAACAAGGTCGCCTGAACAAACGAGTTGGAGATCGTGGTGTTTGCGGGAAATGTCGAAGAGAACGAGAGATTTTGTTCTGGGGCTGTGTGATGTGTTTTCGAAGAGTTCTTGACAGAAACAGATGTGAAGATATTGCCAGCCGCAATGCTATCGACCAAATCATCTATGGGATACGAAGGCTCTGCGTCCGATATATAGACTGGTGGAATCGACATGCGGTTATTGAACGGCCGGTTGAGATTTACGATATCATCAACCATGGACGGGATTTCATGAAATGTCTTTTAGTTGGATACGAGGAGTTTAGATACCTAAGCTGGAAGGAACGACACGATATTGACGGCCATGGTGAAGGTCTTGAGAAGGCTCCGTCGAAAGAATCGGCATCTCCCTGTCACACATCGGGGAGATACTGGGAGTCGCGGTGTGCCTCATGTTGGTGCCAGATTCGTCCTGGAGCCTATCATTTTCGTGAACGAGTTGATATATGCTTAGTTGCGAGGCTAAGGGACACAGAGCTTTGCCCTGACTGTCAAAGTGAAACGAAAAAAAGTCGCACAGACCTTGAATAGAGACGCGTAATCTGTGTCGAAGGTGGTTTCATTGATGAATCTGACAGAGAAGTTCCACTATTTCTAGGTAACCTTACTACTCTCCGTGTAGTGGCTATACTATGTACAGTATAGCGACGCTGGACTTGACTGATATCAATTATCCAGGCCACTCGTATTTAGGCCTCAGAACCACAATCCCAATGAGGGGATGTTATCAGTACGATTTTTTTAGCGATACACTTCAGTGTGGGGGTTTTATGCCAACCTCTCAGGATCCCTCCTCATTCGTCATACCTGGTGTGGCAGGGGCTTTTTTTCGCGGCGCCAATCGGACAAACTTTCAACCTAGAATATTCATCCGCACTATCACCCATCCTTTCCTGACCCATCCTAATCTTGATGCTTTGCTGTACACTTGTACCAACGGTAGATGGAAGTTGAACGTGGTGTAAGCTGCCAGGTAAGCATCCATACCAGATTGGCTAGCTATAGACGGAGGAGACATTGATGTTTGCCACAGTGGACAAGAGTGGTGAAGCGGACAGAAACAAACCGAAAAATATCAGCCATTGCCCGATGTCAGCCCGTACCTAGCTCAAAGTTTATGCTGAAGCTGTTGGACCGCTTACTCTAAGGGCTGGGAGACTGGTTGCAGATGATGCGTGGCTATAAGAACGACAGGTCTGTACGTTATCTCTCTTCCCCAACCTAGGTCAAATATTCGAGTCCATCTACATCAGATTCGGGAAACAATCGCCTCGTGGGAAAATGAGGTCCAAACATCCTCTGGAACAAATTAGTAGAGAAGAAGTCTACACAGCACGCAACGCAATACTTAAACTCCACAAGACTGCCATTTACTTTCGAAGTATTTCTGCCGTTGAACCGCCGAAGGCACAGCTTGTCCCGTACTTAGCTGCCGAACATGCTGGCACACTCTCACATGGAAGTGCTCGCCCACCTCGTCAAGCTCGCGTCCAATATGATGTGGTGCACAGGGACGGTGGTCATGAATACATGGCATCTGTGATCGACATTGTGTCTGGTAAGGAGGTACACCGAGATCAATTGGATCCATTCGACCTTGGGTCACAGCCACCCTTCACTCAGGAGGAGTTCCAGTGCTTCACCCGACTCTGCAAGGAATCTGATGTCTTCAAGGAAGCCGTGGATGCATTGAAACTTGACGACAAGTTCGACGTTGCTATTGACGCTTGGCCATACGGCGGACTTGATGCCGATGAGTTTCCTATCAGGTGCTTTCCATTCTTTTCGTGCACTTTTCTAAAGGTTATATGGATTATGCTGACTTTGTCGCAGGTACATTCAAGGCCTCTGTTTTGCGAAGTTGAAGCGCAGTCATCCAGGCAGTAACTACTACGCATTTCCACTTCCCATAATTCCTGTCATGGACTTTGAGAGCAAGAAGCTCGTACGAATCGACCGCCTCGCGACGGGAGGGGTCGAGGACGGATTTCAGTACGGAACAGGGCCAGAGAACGTCATCGATCACTGTCGACCAGCCGAGTATTTCCCAGAGCTTCTCGACATACCTCTCCGTCCGGATCTGAAGCCGCTGAATATCACCCAACCTGACGGCACGTCCTTTTGTACTCACGACAATTCTCGTATCGAGTGGCAGAAATGGAGATTTCAAATCAGGTATGTCATTTAGCTGTTGCGACGGTTGACCAGGCACTCACAAGCTCGCTGGCAGTTTTAATCCTAGAGAATGTGCTGTCCTACATGACATTCGCTACAATGGCAGGACTGTGCTTTACCGACTTAGTTTGTCCGAGATGACCGTTCCGTATGGCGACCCCCGTCCACCTTTCCACCGAAAGCAAGCTTTTGACCTAGGAGACGCGGGTGCCGGCCAGACCGCCAACAATTTGACACTAGGCTGTGATTGCCTCGGCGCGATTCAATACTTGGACGCCGTGCTGGTGACTTCCGAAGGTATTCCCATGGTTGCAAAGAACGTAGTGTGTATTCACGAGCACGACAACGGTGTTGGATGGAAGCACACCACTTCCGATGGCAGCCGAGCGGTTGTGGTACGAGCGCGGGAGCTCGTTGTGCAGTTCATGCTTACTCTGGCTAACTACGACTACATCTTCGCTTTCAAGTTCGATCAAGCAGGCGGGTAAGGCTACTTCCCGGATGCTCATACGTAGTACTCGCCTTCAAGCTAACTGGTGTGCAAGTATCACGGTAGAAATACGTGCGACAGGCATCTTGTCGGTTGTCAACATCGATCCGGGGAAAGTGAGCCCCTATGGTAATGTGGTTTCACCTGGTGCGCTTGCCCAGAACCATCAACACATCTTTGCGATTCGTATTGACCCGGCTGTTGACGGCCCAAACAACACGATTATCAAAGAGGAGTCATTGCCTGTCCCTATGAACCGCCATACTAACCCCCATGGGAACGGCTACAAAGTCGTGCAGGAGACCATCAAAGCCTCGACTTGGGTGGACGCGTCGCCATCGACCAATCTCACGATCAAGATGGTCAACACAAGCAAGATGAACCCCGTGTCTCAAAGGCCGGTTGGATACCAATTCACCCCGACGCCGACCCAGCTACTCCTTGCAGATCCGAAGAGCATCGTCGCCAAGCGGGCAGCCTTCGCCCGCCATCATGTTTGGGTCACGAAGTATAAGGACGGTGAGCTCTTCGCCGCTGGTGCACTTACCAACCAATCACGGAGAGAGGTGGGTGGTGTCGCCGATGCCATTGCTCGCAATGATAACGTGGAAAACTCCGACGTGGTTGTATGGGCTGTTGTGGGTTTCACTCATAACCCGAGAGTGGAAGACTGGCCCGTGATGCCTGTGGAAAAGCACGAGCTTCGCTTGAAACCGGCTGATTTTTTCGACGGCAATCCTGCTCTGGACGTACCAAGCATCGTGAATCAGACCAGCACTGAGGTTGGGAAATTTGGCGTGATGTCGATTTGTTCTTCGCCCAGCTCGACGGAAGGAGGTGGGAATACCGTGTGTAAGATGCCCTGATCTTTCGCAGAGGAGCGGGCGGGTTTACGTGACAGTGTCCACCGGGAAACTCAGTACGTTTTTCAGCTTAGCCTCGGCTCGACAACCAAACACCGTGATGGCTGACCAGATTTGTTGTGTGTCAAGAAAAGCTCTTACAGTAGCAGGGAATTCAACCGGGGGTAGAAATCAAGGGAGGTGGGCAAACACCCAACGGCAATTTGGAAATTTGCATGGGAACGCTCCTTAGACCCCGTACACTTCTACAGTCCGTCACAAAAGCAAAGACGTTCACAAAATGATGGACGGTGTTTGCTCTGTCCTCGGTGGATGATGAATACTTCGCTCTCACATGTGACAACCACCAAATGGCGTTGCCACCAGGCATCTGTGGTGTTGCACTCAAGGTTGAAATAGACTAGGATGACCCGATTCCCCTCGCCGGGAGAACAGCCGACGCCTTGATGCGGCAAGAATTGGCGGTCCTTTTGGAAGGACGAATCATTGCTTCACGCTCCACGACGCGCCCGCACTAGAGTTCAGGTGAAACCACCACTGGCGGCACTGACTCAAGTATTGTACCTTGTCTCGGCTAGTTCGTTCTGACTTAGCATTCCATTGGCCCTTGCCCCCTTCTCCGCGCCCGAACAGTGCGGACAATCCCTCATCACCAATTGCGCTAAAAAGGCGACAACCCACTAACTAAACACCAGAATTGATCGTGGCGCCGAACTCCCGCTCGTTAATTGCTTCCGTACAATGAACCCTTCCCCCTTCCAAGCCCAGGTTGCCAGTCTCAGTTTTTGGTGCTGTAATCTACCCCTGGGCTGTCCTTTTGAGCACGCCTGCAACCGCCCAGTTTGAGTCATTTTGTGGTCTGACCGTATCAAGCTCGATATTTCTCTACTCCTAGGCTGCAGAGCCAAGGTACTACAGTAGATAACTTCTTGAGCTTTGTGGCTGGCGGCATTTGTGGTTCCGCAATCCCTATCATGGCTGCAGGCCACGATTCGTGAGTCAATCGTTCCAACCACAAATTGTCAAGTCTCTCAAATTGCGCAACTGCACAGTGTCTTTAATTGAATCGCCCAATACCACAGTACTGTGATGCAGATTCTGCAATCCATTGTTCGTCATGGTCATTGAGGAAATCCCGCGCAGTGCTGGAGGAGCCTTTCGGCCTTCCTTTCAGGGGTACGTCGAGACTTCACAGGAGGCGATGATCATCTGTGAGGCATACTTGCAAGGCACTATCACATGTGTATCTCGATGCCCCTCTCCCACTGAACGTCTGAATTTCATCCGGAGTGGTCATGTGTTCGTGGTCAAGAACTCGTCTGGAAGGAAGAGGTGGACCGATGGCATGGCATGGGCTCCACGTGTTTACACTCATGATGGCTTCAAGGTATATCACGAGTCCAAGGAAGGGCCTAAGTTTTCTCGACAGCTCGGTGACTTAAGTCCTCAGTCTCCTCCGCTCATCGAACAAAACAGGATGATCAAAAAGGTCTTCGAGGTTTCAATACGAGGAACGCCGGACTTTCAAGTCATTTCTTATTTCACCGTGAAGGATGTCATATCGAGAAATCTTCCAACACCTTCTCAAGACCCATTTCTTCGGGGTATCAGAGTACGACATGCGCTTCTTGAGATCTATGCCGCCTCGCTGGGAGGGCAGAGCACTTCTACGGACGGTAAATTTAACGGACGACCTCACTCACCACCAGCCATTCTCGCAAAGGAGAGAAGTCATCCTCACTCCCCACCGACTGGAAGTCTTTCACCTATGCTACAGACAAAGCTCCTGAGTCGCACGCAGACCTTCGTATCTGATAATGAGGTTGGAGTCCGCAAGGCGGAACGGACGCCATCCAGAACTAGCATGCCGCAACCGCCAATGCCACCAATCGCTCCTGAACATCAGTCCATGGACATCAGCGGAATGGACCAACGGCCGTCGCAGGTAGTCCATCAGGGCATCCAACATCCTGCGCAATCTCTACACAAGATTACAGAGCAACCGCACGCCCCGACGCCTCATGCGGATCACGACAATCCAAGAGCAGCACATATTTCGATGGGTCCACCACCGCGTGTCCTCCATGCTACCCTACCAGGTGTTCCGTCTCTGCTAAGAGGAGTCAACACGGCCGTCAACCGTTCTCCATCTACTTCCGTGAATCCCTACATCGAAAGCTCAACCATACAGCACTTAATCTCTGATGACCACGGAACGAAGGTCTTCAATCAGGAGGACATGGAGCGCTCGAAAATGCTGAGGAATGCTCCTTACAACTACTTCGATCCAACCCTCGAAAATGAGCGCCGGAGGTGTGCAGAGACCATCGCGCGCTACATAAGAGCTTCTAATCTTTACGGTGGACTTCGTGAGGAGGCGATCCACAATATCTTGGTCAAAGTGTTTGACCCGGCTCAAGACACTACGCACGCATTCCGTTCGGCACCCCGTGTCAAAGGCGCGCTTGGACATGGAGTAAAAATCGAAGGACCCTTCACTTGCAGGTATGGATATAACCTTCACATAATGGACAATGTTCACATCGAAAGAAATTGTGACATCGATGATTCAGGCCGGGTTGATATCGGGAGGCTCGTATGGATTGGGCCCCACGTTTGCATTTTGACCTCAGTGCCCTGCAATGGGTTGGCAGATGATGAACGCAGCGGAGCGCAACGGTCGGCAAGGCCGGTATGGATCGGCCCTAGAGTACAAATCGGAGCACGTGCACTCATATGTCCGGGAGTACGTCTTGAGGAAGGCACAGTTGTCGAACCTGGTGCGATAGTCCGCCCAAATCACTTCGTATCGTAGGGATACGCCACGCTTGTCATGGAAACAATACTACGGTCAGGTAGCGCATTCATACTGGAAATAGTTTTCCACAAAGATTAATAGCTTGTCCCTCAGCGTAGGCAAGGAGGCGCGATTCTGTAGCAACCGGACGGGGGAAAAGACTTCAAGTCAAGGACAATGTTATCTTCATAAGCAGTGTTTTCTCCATCTTCACGTCTCTCGATCGTGAGTGTTGAAGAACCAAAGTTCTGGTTCTACCGAGAGTGGGGGTACCGTATAATTCAGTGAGAGATAAACTTAGTAGTATGACCCTGCATATCCTTGGGGAGAGGTCAGATGTAATTAAAGTACCACCACCTATCTATTTCATCAAACGACTGGAAGATTTCTACCGGAATATTAGCCCAGGATGAGCCTGAAGAGCTATGTCTTTTACCATACGCTGATGCTGCGCACTGGCATCCCGCGGGATCAGCCATGTAGGACCCGTCGTTGTAAACACCTAAACTTTCTCACATCGTCTATGTTTACCTGGTGTTCATCTCTGAACTACCCTTATGAGTACTTTGAGCTAGCAGTAGAACTAGTGAGACTGATTCATAGACATGGTGCTATATGAGTGTTCACAATCAGAAATAGTACTGATATGTCCTGGTGGAAGGTAAGCTTTGATACGCATGGAGAACAGACTTTCCATCAAAAATTGTCTCCACTTATGAGGTCAATTTGGGCATCGGGAGGTTCGGAAGGGAGACTCTGTGCAAGTCCAAGCGACTCCCCAAAAAAAGCAATACATCTCCAATATGAGCCGAATGATTATTGGTGGAGCTTTGGCTATTTGATGTCAGCCATCATTTGTAAAATCTGTTCATTATTTTACAGTCATTGGTACCCAAAAATGGAATATATACATTAATGGTCTAAGCCCTGCAATGAATACAACTTCGTAAAGTTCTCAGAATTTAGGAACTGCTATTTACCATTGCGTTATCCAACAATCCTTCAATCACCTCCAAAGTATCGGGTAAGCTTCTCACGCAGCTCTCGGTGGAAGAAAGCATACTTGCCGACAAACAGTACGTTCTCCATGCCTTCTTCCATCACTCCGGCTCATCTTCGCCAGTAAAAGCAATTCAAACCATGTCTAAGGGACAATATCCGCCAATGTCTGGACCTCCACCTACAGGACCATTGCCTAAGCCACCTAAATGGTGATATACTCATCCAAAAACCAGGGGTATTCGTTGGGAAGTCAGAAGCTACCAAGGGAACCTAGCTGCGCCAATTGCGGTTGATATGGTGAGGTAAAAGGGGTTAGGCTTGTGCTCACACTTGAATCGACGGTGAAAATTGCAACTATTACCCACACTCGTTAGGAAATTTCCTTTGTCAGAAGAAAATATAAAGCTTGTATGGTAACCAGTGCGTCTATACAACAAACAATGAATGACCCAGACTTCCTCGTTTGTCTCGTCTCACGCTATGCATTTGACCATTGATGATGTTTCAGAAGCCCGTTACTGTACGAAGAGTACCAAAAATCTATTCAATGCGTTTCCATCGAAGCAATGCTCATCTGAGGAGAATATTATTGATTCAGCGACTTTGATAATACCTCTCGATCACCAAATCAATCGGTTCATCCTGTACCACCATGCTTTCATACGCATCGCAGCCATTGAACCGCGTTCTCATGACACTTCCGTAAGCTCCTAATCCAAATACCTCCAGATAATCACCGGCTTTCACGTCTCTGGGTAAATTCCACGGTCCAAATTTGTCTAGCGTATCACATGTCGGTCCATACAGCGTGAAGGGCTTGCTCTTCCCCGTAGACGGTGACTCGCGGAGCAGTCGGGTAAAGTAGGGCCAATTAAGGCGACCAGCGTCGGAGAATGTACCGTAGACACCGTCGTTGACATATAGGGCAGATCCGCGGCGTTTCTCGACGCGTAGTAGCATTGAATGATGCCACGCAGAAAGACATCTGCCTGGTTCGGCTATCAGGATGGTGCTAGGTGGAAATGGTAGACTCTGAAATGCGTTGTGGATTTCGTCTAGGTGTTGTGAGGTAGAAGGTGGTTCCATGTCGGGATACTTGACCGCGAACCCACCGCCTACACTGATGAAACGGACGTGGACCTCAGCCTCCAACGTGATAGAATATGCCTGTTGTAGCCCTGCTGCAAAATCTCCTCGACCCATGACCTGGCTACCGACATGAAAGCAGACGCCAACTTGATTATTCGACACTTGCACGGCCTGGAGTAACAGCCGGGCCTCCTGGCCCGAGACACCGAACTTCGATTCAAGGCTCAACTTGGCGTTTCGTGACAACACACGTAGTCGAACAAATAAGTTCAAGTCTGTTGCACGGCCAACCGCTGTCGCCGTAGACCGTAGAATTTTTTCCAGCTCATCATGGGAGTCCAGGCTGAACGAGCGAACGCCGTGGGCGAAGTATGCCTCCTTGATGGCCTTTTCACTTTTGACAGGATTCATGAAACACAGTGTAGCTTCAGGCAAGTTCCGTAACACCAATCGTACTTCTTTTATAGAGGCCACGTCGAACCAGGTAACACCGCTGGTCGAGAGAATTGAGAGCAAATCAGGGCTATCATTGGCTTTGACAGCGTAAGCTGTGTGGCCCTGGAATTTTGTGACGAAAGATCGTGCAACACGCACCGTTTCGTCGGGGTGAATAAGCGTCATCGGACTCTCAGGTTTGAGGTCGTTGGCTATTTGAAGAGAGGTATAGCGCCCTTTGCTGCAGTCCAAGGAGGTTTGGTAGCCGCCCAACAACGCGTGAATCCCGTTCCTGGATTCAGATTCCGAGCCAGGTATCGAGGGTAGAGAATTTGCATTCACTAATTCAATATCTGGCCGTTGTTGTTCCTTGCAACATCCAGCTTCTGTAAGGTCTCTTTGTTCTTCTTTTCCATCGCAGAGTTTCTCATATCGCTTCGTCTGGGAAATACTCGGGAATAGGGTTGGGACAATCCAGCCCAAAAACGATGCCTGGAGAGCCTCTATCCGGTGTGTTCGCCCATTGTTGGTCGATGGACGGAAAGGTATTTTATTCCAGAAAGAGGCCATGGCGTGTCAAGCGAGACAGTGGTGACAGCAAAAAAGCAAGATCTTGAATACAGTTAAGGAAAGACCTATAATTCTGACGTGATTGCAGGGATTTTATAGTATAGATTGAGGCATTCGGAGTTGCCCAAGCCCGTAAAATTCTGAGAAACCCACTCCCATCAGTCGACTATGGGTGTAGGGCAACTGCCCTGGAAGATTCGTGTGCACTACTTCTTACTAAGAAAGGCTTATTCTAGAAGATAGGACAGTTTTCGGGAGTCTGCTATTCGTGGAACCGAAGTGGAGCTCTCCATCGTGTCATACATACTCGAGCCGTCATTTGTCAAATATATAGGGTTGCATGACCCGTACCACAATAGTAAAGAGACCGCCCGAACTTCTTTTTACCTGCTGAGTGACTTGGTCCTGTCATCGTTCGCACCGCGACTGATCGAAACCGAAACACTCTCGAGTTGGCATTTTCTAAAGTCTGTCCTTTGTGATCGCCAAGACTTTATCTTTGCTATGCAGCCTCCGGTATCAGGGCATGACGCCCGCTACTTCGCTGACGAAGAGCAACGTGGTGAATACGGTGAGCATAGCTAATATAGAATAAGCATTTCAATCCATTTCCCACTGATCCAGCTCTAGAAATACGAAGTGTAATCGAGGCAGACTTGAACTATATTCTCAATGATTGCCGAGCAGTTGATCAGGCTATTGATGAAATAGAGGTCAAACTAGAGCACCTAAGAGATCTACAATCTCAATATCTCGCCGAGATAAACATCAATAAACAATCCCTTTTACGGATTGACGTCGATCAGACACGAAACGGCGTGTTCACCACATACCAAGGCCTCATTTCTAGGGTCAAGAATATTAAGTCTCAACCAGAATCCGGTAATCTTCGAACTGCCCCTCAGGTCGGTAAGGTTAACCGAAGACTTAAGAGTACCTTTCAAAAATATCAGCAAGTGGAACGGATTTTCCGTCAAGAGTCTGAAAAGCAGATAGCTCGACAATACCTTATCGTTCGCCCAGATGCTTCGGACTCCGACGTCCGTGAAGCTATTGAAAATAATGTCAAGATTTTTAGCTCTGCCTTAATGCAGAGTGACCGTCGTGGTGAAGTAAATATCGTTGCTGAGGAAGTTTCTCGACGACACGACGGTATTCGGAAGATTGAAGAACAGATACAAGAACTTGTTCAACTCTTCCAGGATCTCGAGACATTAGTGGCGGAACAAGAACATGCAGTTACACAAATCGAGCAAAGAGAAGACGAAATTGTCAGGAATATTGCTGAAGGGAATACCGAGCTAGCAGGTGCGGTTGAAAAGGCCCGAGCAACGCGGAGAAAGAAGTGGTGGTGTTTAGGTGTTGGTGGTGAGTCTCGTTCCCTTCGGTATATAAAAAGACTAACTAGCCTGTAGTCACCATTATTATCATCGTCGTCGTCGTCATCGTCGTCGTGTTACTGGTTATTAAGCCTGGGGATAGAGCTAAGGCGTCAACAACTAGCTAAGTTGCACGTCTGCATCCAGTATCGCGGGGTTGGTAGCAAATTTTCCACTCGCGACTCATCCCTTCGTCGATTTATTGAAAGCGCCTTAGTCGAACCAGGTGTGGTCGCCCACAGTTTCACAGAATGAAGAGCATTTTGATGGAACATTTCTTGGCTTAAATTAGGGCTGTCCTCCGCAGCGCAAAGCAATATCTACATGATGAAGGGAAGCTTGTCATTGTTCTATGTTCTGCTATGATTTGGGTTTTTGAATTCCATTTTCTTTGCCAATTGATGACTGGGGCCTGACAACGAGGAGTCTACTCAAGTCGTTAAGTCGACAATAGTCATGCGGGTTCGTTCAACTAAGGAAAACCTCCCGGATACATCTTCTCTTTTTGGACTCAAGACCGTCACTGGAGGAGGACCTCTTCCTTTTACGGTGTTCCGCAGTTCCGAAGTACGCATTCAATCCTTGGGCTTGTATAAGTTTGTCTACCGTGGACGGGAGGCCGCTGATAGGGTATGATTCGTCCAATGAACCCTGCGTGCGGAGAGAAATACTAATCCCGTGGACAATACTTAGTTGTACGCGTTTGAAAAAGTTGCCGTTCTTATCCAGGCAGCACGGGTCGTCCCAACGTCCCGGGATCGGTTCAGCATTGAGATATAGTTGCGTGGAACTGAAGGCGAGCCGCTTGATTAGCACTGCAAAGGCAGGCTCCTTCCCTAAGATTGAGCACAAGATATGGCCAGTCCCAATGTATCTTCCGTTGACCTTTTTCGGCAAGCCCGCGAGCTCGAAGTAAAACTTAGAGGCAATGGCACGTCGCGCCACTGTTTCAATTGGCCGTGACAACGACTCATCCGTTTCGACTTTTGACTTGAGCACGTGCATGTGACTGGTATCATCTAGGCTATACTCGTCGTCAAGCTCAGGATTCAGACGGTGATATCTCGGAATATGGCGAAACGTTTCTTCCACTTGATGATCCTTCGCCTTCTCCCAGACTAGATCATACACTCTCTGTAGGGCACTTCGTTGTTGGCCGTGATTCTCGTGTGAGGCCTTCAATGAACCTGTCCCCAAAGATAGGATCATGTCAGCCTGCTCCACCAATGGATATAGGGCCCTGGCCTCCGCGAAGGCTATCGCGGTGGGATCGTTCCGCAGTAGGCCCACATCCTGGAAAGTGCCTACGCCTGGAATTTCTTTCACCGGGAAGTAGCTGGCCTCGCATATTAGTCTCCAATCTGCATAGCGAGAGAAGTATACCTACCAAGGGGCTGCAGATGCGGCTCTGGCTCTAGATCGGTCAGCTGGAAACGCTTCTCAAGGGAAGTGCTTACATGTCCCACAGTGGCGCATTGCCCCCATCCTCCGGCTTGATGATATTAACTTCTGCGGGCAACGTGAGTTAGAAGACATTCATAAATCCCGCGGCGGCCTCTTACCTTGCTTTTCACCTCGCTGTCCGATTTTATTATAGTTTGTGAAAACGCGATAGGATGGTTGCTTCAGGACGGTTGCAACGAGGACGCAAAGCTTCGCTCCAACCTCGGTCGCATACGATATGTCCAACATAGTCTGCTCTCCAAGCACGAATTTCAAGACCGATTCGATACTTTCTGCCTTATAAATTCCATCTCGACGGTAAAGATGGAGCGCTTTCCCCATCCAGGCTACGAGAGGAATATTAGAAGCTTTTTCTTCTATGGCTCTCTCAATCCATGCCAAGAGGGTTGCTCCAGAAACTTTCTCTTTTTCGAAGGATAGCTTGGCAAACTCGCAGAACATCTCTATGCACTTCGCTGGAGACCATGCTTTTGGGTACAATCCGAACATGGAAAAGGTTCCTGCCGCCGAGTTAGCTTCAGACGTCCAGGTTGGGTGCTCGAGAACCAACCGGAACTGACACCTGAGATGAAATTGAAATGTCTCTGTACTGGGATAGGGAGGTCAATCTGGTCTGCAAGCCTTTTCAGTATCGTCAGGGGAACGACACCTCGCGTACCTCCACCGTCCATACATAGCATACTGAATCCTCGTGTAGGGGCATCCACGGTAATGGCGATCTCCTTGGCCCATTCTTTGGCACACAGGAAGCATGAAGCAATGCGATAGATCCACGGCTCATCCACAAGGGACCTGCCGAAAATTTGCACACAATTCTCGCAGATGAGATGACCACAGGGAAAACGATATTGCGGAGTGCGACTGATACAGCAAAAGCAAGTGGCGTCGCTGTAAATCTGGGACCATTTTTCTTTATACAGTTGCAGATTAGTCAAATGGATGCTTGCACTAGACAATTCGGGGCGAGAAACCAAGTCGTCGAAATACTTCAGCAGGTGATTCTGTACGATATTGAGGACCCCGGTCCGTAGGATCACATCTGAAGATTGCCCAAACGAGATGACGCGCTCGCCAAGAGCCTCACGGAGAGTGTCATGGTACATCACCTTGAAGAGATGCCTCGGATCAAATGCTATCCATGTCAGCTCGCCCGGCCTAACTTCAATAGACGACTTACCATGGCAGTCTGGGGGATAACTATCGAGTAGGAAACTCGATGCAATGATGGGAGCCGCAAAGCCCGTCACATCTTGTGGTGTCCCACAATGTAGCAAGATGTTCGCGAGGTGTTTTGCCAGATCCGAGCCAGGAGGGTTCTGCAGACGAGAGGCATTGACAAAGTTGAACGCTTCGGGGCTCCAGTCGGAGAAATGTTTACACGCAGCGTCAAAAAAAGCGGCAAAGTGAGTCAAAGAGTACGATGTTCGTGTCTCAGCTCTGGATTGCTGCACACTGTTAGACCACCACACAAGGCGTTCCTTGAGTCGACTCGATTGATTGGACGGTCTAAGCACACGAGGAGGCGGAATAGCAACGACGTCAAGCTCGGATATCAGGTCAAATATGTCTTCTGTGGTTTCTTCTCTTACCAACCACAGAAGCGCCTTCCTGGCTTCCCGTTCTCTCTGTTTCGTGGGTGGTATCTTGTCTGTGACGACGAGTACTTTGGGCTTGGCCAAGGCTGGCACTTGAGACGTGTTTTTGCCATGGACCCAGCCGGCGAGGTGGCGTGCGACGACACGAAAACCACCCATGTCGGAAGCAAAGAAACAAAAAACATCGGTAAAGGGTAAAAGGAGACGGTTGTGCATTGCTAACGCCAAGTGGTCTAGGTCGGCTCCATCCGAGTCCCTGGGATGGTTTTTGAATGGCAATCTGTCTATTTCGTGACATTCCTGTCGCGTCATTTCGCGGCGGCCATTTCTGCAAGTCAGACAGCTGTCTGCGATCAAGATTGGTTTGAATGACTCGGAGTCTGGCGCCATGTACAGGTTGATGTCTCCAGCGTATTGCCTACCCCTAAAAATTCGCCGGCGTTTGATTCCAAATGTTTTTTCAAGCGTGATCGACTTCGTTCGATCACCAATGAAGACGAGCAGGCGGGGTTTGGCCTCATCGGGATCGGTAACGCTGCCGAGGAGCGTCCGCAGCCTATCAGTTTCCAGCAAAGCAGTCTCATAGCCTTGCTTGCAAAGGCCCAACCATTGAATATGATTACAGCGCTTCATGATTCTATGCCTCTAGTACATGGCTCAAACCACCCTGTTCAGTGTCGTGACGACCTATATAGTGGTAGGCTCCTACGGCACCTGCCAGACCATCATTGTCCTAAAATAGACGGAGGAATCTATAAATAAGTTGAGCAGACTGTTTTAGATCTTTCTCTAAGGGCATCTTCTGTCTGATGTGCTCGTACGTTAGAGCCTGGTTAAGATGGGCTATCCCAGCCAAAGTCACAGTTTGCACCTCTCTCAGACTCCCGTTAAGTCAATATATTACCGGTTCTTGTTTGGTGACAACTATTACAAGCCCACCGACAGACGCTCGCATCTTGACAGCCTACAGGGGAGGTCAGTGACCCAGAGAGTGCATGCTGGAAAACTAACAGCCACCCAGGTACCTCACCGTCACCTACATTGACGCGGACAACTCGCCCGGAATGCCTAGCAAAGATCACACCATCTCCTGCCTCTTGAAGTCCCTGCTTGGTATACAAGACTGTGGTCGAGATTTGAGACCCAGATGTCTTCTCTGTGGTAAATTTCGCTCCACTGGACACCATCGAAATGGGATGTCGGCATTGATATGTTCAAGGCCTGCTTGTGCTCAATTGCTCAAGACCATGATTCCGAGTAGCGAGTCCAGCGGAAAGCGAGTTATTCTCGAGATCCATCATTACCTGCACGATGGCGCCAGTGTATGCCAAAGTGAAGCCTCCTCCAATGCTGCCGAGCTATCTGGTGGAATTGCAGACAAGCGGGTGGAAATGCCGGTCACCAATCCAAGGCGGGTTACTCGAGCCATGACGCGACATCTTAACACTCCCCACAACGAATCCCCTCCATTAGTACGAGCATTTACCAAACCTACGCTACATATCTGAGACTTTTACAGTTTGTTCGGCTTGTTGAACGTTTGAATATTCATTTCCCCCTAACAAATCGATTCTCTAGCAGATGCCGTGTGCACCACGACCAGATATGGTAATGAGATCGGATGTGGCGCCCTGTTTCTTACATGAATTCCTCTGGAATAGTTGAGCGTTGAATTTTAAGACGGTACATCATATCCAACCGAAATGCTATCGATAGGTTCCAACTGAATGGGTATCCATAGATATTGTGAGGCCCTCCAGCTTTTACATTAGCCAATAATTGTACACCAGCATAGAGATCGACATCGTTGCTAGTGAAAGGGTGTTGATACTGACTGCAATCTTGGCGGTAACGGACCAATATCCGTGTTGTGCCGAATAGATATTGACCAACATATTAAGCAGTCCCATGAGCGAACTTGCTGTTTCGGGTCTTTGCATGATATCAATAAACGAGATGCAGATCTGAAATTGGTTGTCTCTTCACTTACAAGAATATGTTACGAGTTAGCCAGACATAATTGGAACACCAAGTGCGCCAAAGGTATCCCAAGCCCACACTACCGACAAGGCAGCAAATGCCAGCAAGCGGCAGCAATGGAATGTTGTTCACTGTGTCCGCTGCCAGCTGACCACCCTCTGTTTGCTCAAGGCGGGTTCCCAGAGAAGTAAATGTTCCAGGCAGGACTATATAACTTGTATGAATCAGCCAGGACGAAATAAACGCCATGATGCTGTATCGTCTCTGTATCGTTTCAGCTCCAAGCACCATGGTTTCGTGAGTCGTCGACATGATATATCTCCGACGCGTTTTTCGATAGAAATCGTCGTATGGGAATGCAAGTCTTGGTTTGGGTTCCTTCCAAGCATGGGTGTGAGTCGGAAGAACTATTTGTATGGTGCCTGGTCTGTGGGAGCTCCACTTTGACCGAATTCGCATCCTAGCACGCGAACTCGTTGTTCTTTAAATAGTCCAAACGTTCCCCCTCCTAATCGGTCCTTGATTGGAGACATTACTCTGCTTTCATCTTTCCGACCGCTCGAAGTTCGTTTTGTCTCAGACCTTTCTCCTAATCAACCCACATTATTCACATAATTCTGCATTGCTTGTATCATTGTCTAGTTTCTCAGAATATACACATTGCTGATAGATCTCTAAGTCATAGTGTGTCCCTCCCGAAGAGATCTTGTTTGCGTTCAAATCTGGCAGACAGCGCACAACTAGACATGGAGCAAACTTTTTGCTCTGATCCAGAACCTCAGGACACAGCCCTTTTCACCGATATCCCGACAGTCGAATCCTTACTCAAGAAGGTCGATCAGTTGCAAGAGTCGATGGACTACGATATCCTGGAGCGACTTGAGGAGGAGAATGAATTGCTACAACAAAGTCTCACACGTGGGAGACAAAGGCTGTTGTCTGTCGCCAACGTGCTGAGAGAGGCGTATGAAGGCTATGTGGTCCTCCATGCGTATCTCCAGAAATTCGAGCAGGAAGCAAAAGTAATTGATGCACAATGGGCGGCATTCACTCCATTCAGCGCGATTCAAAACGGCGGACCGGAGGACCGAATTCGTGCGCTTATCTCGGACAAGTAGTACGATGGCACAAGCGCCTTGACCAGCGCCTTCAGTGCAGGTTAAAAGACACATGTCAATGTATAGACCAAGGGAGCTTGGACTGTGACACAACCCTCTGCTTACGTCTCTGGAATTCCCGACAAGTACAATAGGCCAAGAAAATTCTATCACTTCGGCCACACAACTTGCCGCCACCGGAAAAAGATATATCAGATAGTATCTGCCTAACGAGTGATGGGGTACAGTACTATTGGAGAAATCGTCCTGTAATGTGGCCATCGTACACGCGATTCGGTCAGGGTGGCTTCAAATGTTTGATCGTGATCCACCCTCCCGCTCTTTCTTCAGCCATTCCAACACCATATTTGCTCTGGGCTTTCGCTTTCTGAGAGCTCGATGTAATTTTTTACCGATAGTGGTTTGTAACACCGTCGTAAACAACCTCCCGTCCTGAATCCCCTCTAGCATTTCGGCAATAGCATCGTTGAACTTCTCAGCGGCAGCAGGTTCAACGTCAAAGAGTGATTGACCCAGTTCCATCAAAACCAATACAGTGATCTCCGCTTCATGTTTTAGAGTGCTTTCTTTAGGAGGACACTCGTATCTCTCAATATCTATGAACCCTCGTTGCTTCAGCAGGGCTGGTAGTTTGTCGAACCATTCCACAGACTTGATGAAGAGTGGAATCTGAGTCGTGATTGGTGATGGCAGTCGCCATTCGGATATGATACTTGGCTCTGTGTAGTCGTAAGCACGAATTGCTGGTGATGAGATGTCGAGCCACTGGATCCAGCCATTTGGCTTTAGCATTTGGTGCAGGTTGTCGATGATGGGAGTGAATTCCTTCCCTTCGAAAGAGCCTGCAAGCAGCCGAACATTGATCAAATCGAAGCAACCCTTATAATCCTGGTCCACTGGCCGCATCATATCCAGTACGTGAAAGCAGCAATTCTCGGGGCACGTCCACGGAAACTGCGCGTCGGATATGTCGATACCGATTACTTCTGCCAATGGGTATTCCTCTGCTGCCTCGATGGCCCATATTCCATTACCACAACCGACGTCGGCGATGGCTAGGTCCTTCCTGGATCTAATCTCATTGGAAATAGCAGGGTAGATTAGACCACCAATTCGCTGCGTAATCAAATGGTGCTGGGCAGTGAGTCGGCAAGACGCAACAATCCCGCACTGTAGTGAATATGTGTCGGTTCGCTTAGCGGACTGCGCCATAACGGAAATTCAATAGGTATTACTTTCTGACAGAAATCCCTCATCGCAGAGAGCGAGGTGGATTTAAATACCTTACGGGACTTCCGGTTCCTCCGCGCGCTGCTTAGCCGGAAAAGTCCTCCCCATCACTCTACTTTAACGCACGATGACTTGATTCCTGGGCCAGTAAACATTCTTTTCGGCCTGGTGATGCAACTACTGTCTATTAAATCGGACTTAATCGACTGCACCATCCATGCACCTGTGGAGTCCAAATATTTTCTCTCAGACGGCAAGCTTTGCTCTTCTATCGAGGTCTAGATTACGACTCACACGGTCCAAAAACCTGCACCAGTCTAAATGAACCCTGAAAAAACCTTCACCAATTTGAACGCCCTGGAAGGGGATCGGACACCATGGTACTGGGGAGCGGCCTGTCGGATGCACTCGGAATGCTATTGTAGTAAGGCTTCAAGGCTTCATTCGAACCATTTGCGCACCATTCCTGCATGAGATGTCCACAGTGAGGGCACTGGAATCTCCGTAGAGACGGATAGTTGCCGGAATATTGCAGGACTGGTATGTCGCCTTGACGAGGTTCAATCGGTAGTAATCGCGGGACCTGTGCACCTGAATGGAACCCCGGATTGGACGTGTCCATGAGAGCGGAAGGATTTTGCGGCGATGTTGCGGTCGTTCGATGATATGCAAAATCTATAGCTGGTAGGATTACTCTATGAGAGTTCAAGGGTGTTCTTTGGACGCATTGCGTTATCTGTGCCGCCTCTGACGATTGAATGATATGCTGGTTTGTTTGACGAGTATCTTCCACGGTTGTATCGGCACCTGGTGCTGGATTCTGAAGGTTGAGATCAAGCACATGGACCAACGATTTGTGCGCCTCCTTTGCTGGCTGAAGGCGACGTTTCAGCCTTTGTCCTATACTCAAGTGTTAAAATGCTTTGTGGCAAATAGACGGAACGATTGCATACGTCTCACGGAGTGGTTCTTCTTGTCCTGATTGTGATGTTTTGTGGTGCGCCCTTGCCCTTCATCCTCTACCTTTGTTTTAATCTGCATATCCTCTCTCAACAATGATCGTTCGGCTTGGGGAGTAGAATGGATTTCAGCACTAGTCTCCATAACGGGCGAATTTATTTGATTGAGAAGCCTATTGTCAAGTAACCTCAAGCCGCTTCTATACAGAGGGATAATAATTGTGCCTTAACCACACCATTTTAAAGCCACGGAGCTATATTGTAAGAAATAGCTGACGAGGATATTTACAGAACATGATCCACTACTTTGCCCCTTTCACTACTCCACACCATCACCACCCGCTCTCTGCGTGGAATCATCATCCTGAAAGTCGTCGGGGAAGGACCATTGAGGGGGCGGGTAACTCTGTTCCTGTTTGATGTGAGACGAGTCCCCCATAGTATGATGTGACGAACCAGTGTTCGTTCGGAGAATGGAGAACTGGTCCCTCTCTCTGAGCTGAAAATATATGACCGACCGTGGCGCCGAACAAGGATGTAAACTTCGGCTTCGCACCTTTTGTGAAGCTCGGACCCCGCCTTCAACAATCCCCTCTTACGGCGCCAAAATTGTGTTCTCTTAAGCTTTTTGTTTTTGCGTATATTGACTATATCTGGGTTGTCCATCTTGCAGGTATCACACTAGTCTTGTCGAAGCACGTAGCGAGATGGCTAGCTTCTTGAGGCATTCTTTTATATGCCTCAGAAAGGGCTTCGAGGATGACGCCAGCCTAGAGTTCGTCAGCATCTTGGCAAGAGACAATGATTCGCAGGCTTCTACTGTAAATCTATTCTTTGGAAACCCCGAGCACAGTGGATGTCTCCTACACTATATTGGTCTGGCTTTGTAGCCCATCTATGCTTTAGGCATGACTTCGTGTTAGGTATAAAACAGCTCTGAAACTTTTCCTCATACGTACTGAAACATATGTTGACTTTTCCTACTCTTTCCTCAAAACTTCCGTTCCCTGGACACATATGTTTGAATAATGTTCCACAATGGCTCCCAGGTACACAGTCGTCCATCCCGGCCGGCTTGGCTCCCATCCAGGTGCATCTCGGCACGATGATGGGCTCCTAGGCTGGGACGATCTCCGTAAGTTGATGCACTGTCTTGACGAGCCTCACTTATGTATGATGGATTGCCCTGCAGAATCATGGCAAAGGTCAGTATGTAATGGCATGCGGTAAACATGCTAATTCGCACAGAGACAACGAGTATCTGGTTCGCGGTTATCGGTAGGCGGCCAGCTCCTTCTGAGGGAGAACTACTAACAATATGACGACAACCCTCTAATTCATGGAGCAACTGTATAAGAAGCATCTTCTCTATCCACAATGAGACAGGTGAGGTTCATGAGAATGAGTCTGGGGTGTCGGCTTGCTAACATCGACTGCACCAGTGAATATCTGGACTCACTTGGTCGGTTTTCTTGTGTTTGTGCTCGCTCCTGCATATGCATTTAACTTCTTGGAAGGATCACCGCGTACCCGCCCGGTGATGGAAATTGTCTCGCTGACACTCTTTTCTTGCGGTGCTGCAACTTGTTTCTTCTTATCCGCACTGTAAGGATAGCCAAGACATCCAAGCGTGGCATGTTAGCTGACCGAGGGCAGGTACCATATTCTGGCACATCACAGCAAAGCCGTGGCATCATTTTGGAATCAGTTGGACTATATCGGTATCGTCATCCTTGTCTGGGCAGCGAACATTCCTGCCATATACCTCGCATTTTTTGAGAACAGCAAGCTCCAAAAGGTGTATTGGTATTCGGTGCGTTTTAGTTTCGGCGCGTGACTTTCAAAGCTAATACATTCTAGACGTCAATCGTGTCTGCGCTTTGCGCTTTGGTAACGGTACATCCCCGGTTTATATCGCCTACTTTCCGACCTTATCGCACAATCACGTATGTGACCCTAGGATGCTCGCCTCTGGTTTTTATTTGCCACAGCATTATTCTACATGGCTTTCAGGCGCGTGAACAGAGGATGAGCTTAGAGTGGATGGTATTGACGTCGGTGTTGAGCATCATTGGTGCGATAACCTATGTCAGCAGGGTACGTGGTTGATCGTGCTCTCGGGAGTATTAACTAATGGTAGTATTTACAGATCCCTGAAAAGTGGTTACCCGGTACCTTTGACTATTGGGGTTCGAGTCATCAGGTCTTGCATTTGATGGTCCTGCTTGGAGCTTGTGCGTACTTGATAGGTTTAGTGCGAGCTGTCCGGAAGATTCCATCATAGAGAGGTTGGGCCTATTCCGAGCGAGGCATACTACATACTTGGCAACTGTGCCCTCATGCCTGCGCCCCCAGCGGCTGCGCTGTGCAGGGAACTGCACAACCAGCTTCTCACAACCCCCTGTCTTATCTCTAACCTATTATAGTGGAGTTTCCGTCATGGTCTGGTCGGTCCTTGGCAATATTGTCTACCTGCCTGCGGGATAAAAGGGGCTCGTCCCTGGCTTTCTCTTCTCTTGACAACAGGTTCGACGATGGCTGGTCTTCAGGATCTTCCAGTAGAGGTCCTAGAGCAGATAATTCTCGATCTTGACCGGAAGACCCTTCTCTCCATCCGTCGTTGTAGTCAATTCATCTTGGCTATAGTCAAGGGGTTATACGATCCCGAAAGTCTCGCTCTCTCCAGCAAACTTCGCAGTTCTCGAGGTCGCTCAGCGTTCTGCACATTTGCCCGTATATCTCGGCGTCAATTTGGACGCGACGCAACCGCCCGCATAGCTCGGCGCCAATTGCGAACTAACCAAAAAGTCAACAGTCAGGGTCGATGGCAGAGTCATTTCATCGAGCCTATGATTCTCGAAGCTGAAGCGATGGCACTGGCTGGCTACAAAAACGAGCACCTTATTAAACTACTTGAGCGCGCAGACGGCCTAAAGTTCAAACGTTGCGAAGATCGCCACCAGGCCTTGCAAAAGCGATTCCGAGCTAACGTCCAACAATATAAACTCGATCGATTTACCCAGATATACCTGAATTTGTTCAGCATCCAAACAACCCAATACATGGACTTGTTCGAGACCTGTATTCGTGAATTCTGGCGCCAGTCCATCTCCTTCCTGGACAACCACGAAGTTGAAACACTCAGCAACGCTACGAGTCAGAGGATCATGTCAATGAAGAAAGTGCAGATGGACCAAAATCTCGACTATTTGCTCAAGCTCAGTAACTGTTCTTCATGCAGGAGGAGTTATTCCTACTCACGAGCAGGGCCTGGTTCGTCTTTTGTCCAAAGACATTGCACCTGTTGCACTTTTTCCACCTCTGTCACCCAGGGCTGGCCCTGTCATTATTGAAATCCATTAAGATGTGGTGCACAGGTTACATGGCTTTTCTCAAACCGCTATGAATTGTAAACCAATAAAGCGTATTCATGAAGATATGCTCATCGAGTCTGCAAAACCGGCGAATTCTATTTGAGGGAGAGAGGAACGATTCTGGTAGAGGATTTGGAGTTTAATATGGCTGTGCTACGTTAGGAGGGAGGTTTTGGTAAAGGTTACTCAATTTTCTGTCAAGAGCCCTTCGGCAAACCCTCCAAGGAGAAGTAGTGGCTGAGGGTACTCAGTGGCCATGCCAAGCGAGATCAAATTCATGCTGCCATAAGTTAGACCCGAGCCAAGAGCCATCTGTACTGCTCTGTAAATACTCAAGGCCCCCATGTTACGTGGCTAGTCTATTGGTGAAGCCACCATTCCCGCCATTACTTAATATGGTATATTGTGGATCATGATTGAGTCACCTTGTGGGTCTCAAAAGAAGAAAGTGTGTAAAGAACCTGAAGCCGCGATTGAAAACGGCTGTACCACCACCATAAGAGATAGGTCGAGAGACAACATTAGTAGGATGACCTGCATATCCCTCGGGAGTGGTCAGGTGTAATTGAAGTACTACCACCACCGGCTGTACCACCTCTATGTTGTGTATTACGGCAGTGGAAGCATAAATTGAATCTTCTACTTCTTCCACTTCCTCAGAATGTAGGAGCATATATACTGAAGCACTATACTAAAAGCTTCCCTATCATTTCAAAACGTGCAGAATGATTTCATGAGACTTTCCGCCCGCCTTATGAAAGTCGTTTGAGCCTCATATCATAACACCTAGGCCGCAAAGACAGCTTCTTTTTCCACGATGCTCTCGAGGCCTATTTTGAGATTTCCTGCTAACGATCGTCCTACCATGCAACTAAGGAACGCGTTTGGTGTAGCAGGTTATTTGGTAGATTTCGACTGCCGTTAAAGGTAGTCGACGCAAAACAGCGCGATTGGTGAAGAGAAGACCTTCAATCCATCATTCCCTACATGCAGCCTGAGAGCCTGGAAGGAAAGACCTCTGGTTCTTTATCCCGTCAAGCAACATATAGCGGCTAAGATTGCACGATGTGGACATTGTGGGGCAAAATAGAGAGACTGGTGGTCTATTTTAACAGTGTTTGAAAATTCAGAAATAGAAATCCCTATAATTGGAATTCTCACCAGCAAATCGACGATATTAAAGGAAAAACGGTGGTCTTGCAGGTAAAGAACTTACAGTCTATCCACGGACAAGTTTCGAAATGCCGCAACTAATGGGAAGACATTTCAGTAAACTTCATAACGTTGACCATAGATTACTTCCATACGTCCGGAGATGGAAGATTCCGATTATTCTGGCCGTCACAACCTTGGTTGGTGTCATTGTCGCTACCACCCTGGAGAACAAAGTAACCGCTACCACCTCCTCATCACAGCTGATCTTCGCGATAAGTATGTTAGCACTAATCCCCAGTGGCTCCTTATTACGCCAGTGTATCCGCCATCTCATAAACTGGACACAGGTACGACTGGAGGACCCTTACAAAGCACATATGATAGCTGGGGCTTTTGATTGTCTGTTAGGGTAGGAAAGATCTTTGTCGTCTACTGAAGGCGTGCTGACATACATCGCCAGAACGGCCCCAGAGCTCATTTTCTCATTGGTTGCTTTGGCATTTGGCAAAGTGACGGTGGCTCAGACTGCTGTCATCGGCTCAATATTCTCGAACAACTTACTAATACTAGGTGTTTGCTTCCTCGTTGCCGCCTGGGGGGAGGACCTTCAACACTTTCCTCGTGAGCTCATCTTGACAAACTTCCGTCTCCTTATGATCGCTCTAGGTAGCCTTGTCATGGTAGCCACTCTTGTGTCGTATTCCGAAGGTCAGTGCAGAGACAGAACGGTGTCTATTGGCAATAGGCTCTACTAACACGTCCAAAGGTGAAATTAGTTCCTTGCCGACATTGTCCCGAGTCACATCCATTGTTTTGCTCTTGTTGTACACCTGTTACTGGTGGTTCTTCTTCGGCTCTCATGCACATCTACAGGATGACGATGACTCTACACCAGACATCAGGTTGGCCATGGTACAAGCACCTTGGTGTGCCCATTTGGGGCCGCCAGCAATGAACGAGAGTCTTTCAAGAAGACTGGCGGAAGCCAGTCATCAGAGGGCTACGAGGGAGCATTCCAAGCTGCATCCTGCGGTTGCTCTGACTATCGGTTTGATGGCTACTGCGTCCACCACCTGGCTTACCATTCTAGTGATGCGTCATTTAGAGGCCACCATGGAGAAAGGTGAGATCTCCCGTAACTTCGTTGAGCTGGTCATGTTGCCACTGGCAACCACGACCGTTGAGGGTATTATTTCGGTGCTGCATGCACAACGACAGGAAATGGAGTGGGCGATGCAAACCACCATCAAATGCACCGTTGGCATGGTTCTATTCGTGATGCCCGTTACCATTTGCATAGGCTGGGCCATGGGAGTCGAGTCGATGACTCTCCACTTCGACGGCTTCCAGGTTGTCACCGTATTTTTGACTGTCATAGTCCTCATCCACATTTTTCAAGGTCCAAGTGGGCGTTGGTAAGTCATGTTGAGGTCTCACTTTGTTCGTTCTTCATTAAAGTTTCTCAAGGGTCGAAGGAGCCACACTCATTGCATTCTACACTCTTTTCGCTGCTACAACCTGGTACTGTCGCGATACTCGCTAGATCGACCTATTCACTCAGCGACAGTGTCGGCCAACGTCTGAGCAGATGGCTGGCACCTCGACTTGAGAATACGCAAAGTGCCTTTGACCGTTACTTCAGTGCAACTCTGGCCTTGTGGATGGTAGAAGTGTGAAGCACCAATGGATCTTGGATCATGGTATGGAAAGGGCTAACAAGCTTATGACTTGCTTGCTTATTGGGGCTAATTTTGGTCGAGGATTAAGGATTTACCTTGGGATATGACTCATGTAGAAGATAGACAATTTCAGCCCTGGACTATTAAATAATTCTTTCGTGGCCATCTACAATGCAGGAAACAGATGCGTGATTATGAGTGAACTGCTACATCGCAGTGCAGTGGCGTCTGTCACGATATCTCTTGCCTGAGTGAAGCCTTGCGACGGATAACTATAACCCTTTTCGCTCTTTTTGTACAGTAAGCTCTAGTGACGTGCTGAAATATTAGATGCCTGACCTTCCATCCCTGGCGGTCAGAGCTGTTAACAACGGATTACGCAGCTCGTCACGAATTGAGGAATAAAACATGGGGTTCGGCATGTTCTGAGCAAGGCATACCACTCCGCACTACCGCATAAGGAAGTCTCAAATTTTCATCCCTGTAGTGTCCATGCCACATGCTTATTGGTATTGGCTTGGACTAGCAAGCCAAGACCTTACTCTTTCACATGATGGCAATGCCATAAAGGTGAAGGTAGGCCACGTAGGTGCCCGTCCACGGTGTCGTGTACGATCCAGTTCAACCCTTACCTTGGGCAAAGTAAATCGTGTCCCGCCATGGAAAATGTCGAATCCTCCCAAACTCCACAAAAAGTGCTTCCTGATCCTCCGTCATCTGACAGTCAAGCGACCAAACGCAACGGCCACCATTTCTTTCCCCCCAGGTCGACAGCTCACCCTTGGCAGCATGACGCCCAGCCAGAATCGACCATGAGCACTCGTGCAATTGAAATACGCAATCTTGAAGAGCAGAATCAAGCCCTCAGAAAGGAGGCTGTGAAGTACTACAAAATCCAACACATATCCGAACAACTGTTGGAGGATGTTCGAGGTGCGGCGGAGCAGCTGAGGAAGGCGGTTTTGAAGTGGCGCAAGGATCAAAAAACCATCGATGCAGAGTTCACGGAATCAAATCAATTCTAGCTATCGTCAATCATTTAGCGACAAATTTAGTGAATTCTAGCCGCACATTTGCTGCTGTAGTAACCCATGACTCCTGTTGATTTGACTGAATTTTGTGTCTTTGGGCGGCCGGACACTGCGTGCGCATGGCCCAAGTCTTCACTGGGTTCAAGTTCGTGTGAATTGACGGCCACCATGTATGCCTAAATTCAACGAACCCCCGGTAAAAATCAAGGTCGGTATGGTTGTCGCTACGCTCAGCAGGCCAAGTGTCCAGGACATCGTGCTCCACCCGGCCTTCTTTTCCACCAGTCCAGCCCAGAGTGGCCCCACCAGAAGCCCACCAGCCAGTGACACGGAATAGAGAGCGTATGCCTGGGCAGTGGCGCCTCTCGGACCGAAGATACCCGGATGATGGCGCTCCTTCGACTCCATGGCATATGTGATTTCCGCCATGAGAGGTGCGCCAGCCAGTGCGAGTCCTAGACTCATAAGGGCAAGAAGAACGCACAGGAGCACAATATGGCCCGTGGTAGCGTTGGTTACAAATCGAAAAAGGATCAACACCGGGCATGCGGCAAGGAAGCCAGCACTGACGAACCATTTCGGCCCATATTTGTCAGTGTAATGTCCTACCCACGGAGCCAGGAACGTCGGGACAACAACAGGAATGAAGATAAGTCCTGCGCCGTTGGCACCCCAGGAGAACACGCGGTGGACAAAGAGCGGGAGTACAGCATCTAAAGAGGCGAGTAGGGTGATCTGTACAAAACTTGCCCCGAGGGCGGCTTGAAGTCGGTGGTCTCGAAGTATCGCTAGTTGTAGAGCGAATTTCTCTAAGACGTTAGCTAGCCATCCCGTAGTATCATCTTGACCTCTGTCCGGGGAGGAGCCGTTGTTCGAGTCCCGTTCTTCGTTGATCAGGAGAGGCTCCAAATCGGGAATGTCCATTCGTATTGGTGATGGAATGATGCTTGGAGTTCCATTATTACCATAGGCCATAGTCCAGTACTCCTCCTTGTCGGGGCCGGACCATGACCTGGCCACCTCACATTCTATCAGTGTCAATCTCCATAGCATATCCAAGAAGATGAGACCAAAAGCAATCCCGAAGACCGAGTAGTAACCGCTATTTTCGAATATCACGCCTCCGACCAAAGGCGCGAGCAGCATAGCCAAGTTCATGCCCAGGCTGCAAATGCCCATTGTTTTTCCGACCTCGTGCTTGCCCACAGTATCTACTGCAAGGGTGATTCCTGCGGTCCAGGTGAAGGCACTAGATATCCCTTGCAAGACCCGTCCTAGTACAAACACTGTGAGTGAAGAACCGAGGCAGAGGAGCACAGTGGCACCGCCTAGGGCGAGAAGTGCGGAGACAAAAGTAATACGTCGGGTGGCGAAGTGATCGGTCAAGTAGCCTGCTACAGGCGCTGCAATCAGCCATGCTCCCGCGTAGCAACCCAGCAATATCGATATCCAAACTCCCACTGCAAATTTCTGATGAGACCTGGTCACAATTTTGAACATCGGTAATGGTCGACTTACCACTATTCGAAGAAACCCCAGTTCGTTCGACCAATGCAAAAGGTAAGACGGGCACGATCTTTACTCCCCATTAGTCACCGATTTCCCTTTCCAGTTGATATTCACTTACTATTCCGTAGAGAAAAGTATCTGTGAATATCGCGAGTACACAAGCGCTAATTATGAACGCTTTTGAGGATCTGATTCTCAGGTAAAGGGGCGGTGTCATGGCGTCGGTTCGCACAACTGTGCGGTGAAAGTATCGAAGGACTAAATTCCATGCACCTATAGCCATGGTGAGGAATGGAAGGTGAAGAAAGTATTTCGTGTCTTGATCGGGCAGATGACTGCTCCGAGGAAGGGCTTATATGTGGGACAATGAGAATGCTACGGATCTTAATCATAGGGGGCCACATCTCATTCCTCCTCCTAGGTCATCACCACTTGCCCCTGCAGATTGAACATGAAGCCTCTAGTCCATTGGGGAATTGGACTAAAATCTGTATGATACAATACGTCACGTTGGACAGTGATGGATTTTTGTCTCAATATAGCTTGCTAGCTGCGCCGATAAGTCACCCTTCCATAAGATTCGTTTTACACCAGCAACTTCAAGCCTGCACAAATTCAAGGAGTTCTTGCCAAACAGCGATTCTAAATTCTGACGACCACCACTTCCCGTGTTTTGTGATACAGTAATCATTGTCTAGCGTTTTCTTTGCTGCAGCTACCGGTTCCTGACAAAGGAAAGAAAACTTTGAACCTGTCAGCACTCTCCACCTTCTGGATCTCGAGGACGAGTCTAGGACTCGCTGTTAGTGTTTGCGTTCGAAACAGAGGAAAACCAAGCCAATTAAAAATAGCCCCCTTTCACACTCTGTGGGCCCAGGACCACAGCAGGTTTTGATTTTTTATGTCCGTACGGCTTTCCATTCTTATTGGAATAGGTGGCGTCAGCATGCGAGTCTCACCTGGTCAAGATCTGGCAGCCAATTATGGCAAGAATGTGATAGTGGATCATTGTGCTGCAAATTATATAACAGAAAGAGAGATTTCAATCTCAGCGGCCTCAACAATATTGCCATTCGTTGCTAATTTTTTCTTCGCCCGTCTCCCTCTACAGTTCCCGGAGCCACGAAAGCACCTTCCACGACGTGATGGATACGACATGGGTGTACGCGACCATCCTTGCCGGCATCGCGCTCTCTCTTGTTCTTCTGAACACCATACCTTATTTCCTGAAGGCCTTTGAAATAATGAGACACCTTACCATACCTCACCTTCTGAGGGCCTTGAAAATAATGAGACACCTCACTTACGTGGATGTTCTCAATCGCCACGCACTGATTGGGCCGTGGAGCGCAGTTACCTTGCTGTTCCAGAGTCTATACGTGATGGTGAACGTGTTCTGTCTCAGCTTCAAGGTCGACAACTTGTCGCATGCGGGACGTCGCGCCGGGACGTTATCCTTGATAAACTTGGGTCCATTATTGGGTAGCCTTAACCTCGATTTCTTGGCAGGCATATTAAGGCTTTCACTAAAATCCACTCAACGCATTCATCGCTCGGCCGGAATTGCGAGTTTTATACTCGCCATATTGCATGTCGCCGTGGCAGCAGCAACAGAAAACTCGGCTTTTCTGAGGGAGTCTTCGCATGTATTCACCATCATTGTAAGCTTCTCGGTGCCCAATATCTTCCTCGTCTAACTTATCCAGGCCGGATCGACGTTATGCTTCCTCTCCGTGGCTTCACGGATTGCCCAGAAGGCCTCGTACAAAATATTTCTCCTGACGCATGTTTCGTTAGTATCTCTTTTTGTCTACTCGGTCTGGACACATTTACCTGCCAAAAACGTCTTTCCTCGACTTTACGTGTATGTGTTTATGGGAATACTCGGCGCGACGCTCACTACTGAGAGTGTCATCATTCTGAATAGAAATGGGGTTTTCCGTTGGCGGCGCTCACGTACCACCATCACCTGTTCAGCAGGTGTGGTCCACCTCAAATTATATCTCTCCAAGTCATTGAATATCAAACCGGGGCAGCACATCAATATTTGGATACCTTCGGTGAGTGCTGGTGCTTGGCTGCAAATTCATCCATTCGTGGTAACGTCATGGACCGCAGAGCCTCAGTCGACGCTAGATCTCTTCGTGCAACCACGGGGCAGATTTACCAAAAATCTCCTCCGCATTGCTAGTCGAGGCAAACGGGTGGATGATAAGTGGGTTTTGTTCAGTGGACCACATGGCCAAACCGTCCCGGCTGGTGAGTACGATAGAGTTTTACTCGTGGCCGACGGGGTTGGAATCGCGGCTCTACTACCATATATGAAGATGCTGATTCATGGTTACCATGCTGGACAAGTTTCAACCCGCAAAATTCACCTAGTTTGGCAGATCAGCGACATCGGTAAGTAGGTCCGGGGGTGAACCGGTTATTTTGCTGACGAGATCAGAGATTAGCATCGCTGCACAACCGTTTCTAAACGAGGCGTTAACTGAAGACCAGCTCGAGAGTGGACGTGTATGTGCCTGAAATAGCTGCTTTACAACTGCTAAATACCCAGCAGATTCTTCGCATCTCGATCTACGTAGATCGAGATGAGATTCCAGAGGAATCGTTCGGCGAGCGGAGCACCGTGTATCCAGGAAGGGCAGATCTTGAAAGTATTGTAGCAAAAGAATTGCTTCTTGACGGAGAACTTCAAGCGACCGTGCCGACTCAAGCTACCGAAAGTCGCTCTCATGGAGATTCTCTTCGAAGCCAATCCGTTACGCGTCTTGAAGTTCGATCAACTCATCACACCACCGTGGATGAGGAAGGCATAGCTCTCACTCGGCTGAGCGCGGTCTCTGAGTACTCGACGGACGACTTAGGGATAGCAGATCAGACGAATCCGCCATTGGACAACGAAACGGCACCGAATAGCCCGGTTTGGGAAGGTAAAGAGGAATTGCGACCACCAAGCGATGGCAAAATGCTTGTCTTAGGTAAGCCTAACCCTATTTATCTTGCTTGGCTAATGAGCATGCACAGCGTCGACATTGGCCAAGACGAGGGATGCATTGCGGAAGGCAGCACGCACACACTCACAGAACAACATGGATCTCGTCGAAGTGGACTTCCAGCCTTTCAAGGGAAATTGAAAGAGAACTAAAATGGCACCGGCAAGTAAATTAAGGGGCAGGTGTTTCTAAATCTCAAAATAGAAGGGTATAGCAGAGAGTCTGCTCGACTAGCTTTGTGAATTGACTCGTTTCCATCCACGGAGTGCTGGTGTATCCTGTCTCTTGGAGTCTACTCTTGCGAGAGAATCTTCCAACGTTGATGGAAGATGAATTTGTCCAGTACAAAGCCTTTCAATGTAAACACCACTCGTAAACTATCCTCCCCGTTATATTAAAGTCTTCAAAGCCTCCACAATTTCGAGTTTTGTTTTCTCAAGGGTCTTTTTTATTCTCTCAATGGTGTCAACATTCATGTCCGCTGAGGATTCAAGGGAGTTGTTCTCGTATATCGCAAGCTCCCTGAGGAGAGAATCTCTCAAGTTTATCACACTCTCTGCCTTAATGATCTCAGTGTCAAGTTTCGAATCTGCCAACCTCTGTTGTCGGGATGATCGAATTTGCGCCCGGGCATGTCTTTCGTCTTTTTCTTCGCGGATTATCCGTTCGGTTTTCGCTGCCGTGAATCGGGTTCCATGTAGCCCTGGCCGCCGAACGACGATCACGCCTTCCTTGATACAGATTCTCTGCTCTGTCATGGTGTCACTAGTTGAATGTGATGAAACGACCGAATACAAAGAACCGCCGTCCAGGCTAAATGATGGAACTTATACGATTAGAATGATTTGCCGCCTGGCCAAATTTAGCACAGTGGCATAATATCAGGGCTGATGGGGATGGAAAAGCAGACTCTCCGAGTCTATATTAGGGCTACGGTTTTACACATCGTGGTTCACTGGTCCGAGACTATGGAAAGTTTCTGATATGACTTCACTGAAATTATCACGATATTGTATAAAAAGTAGCCAGCTTTTCGAAAGCGCTATGATAATTTTATAACTTGTCTGGCATTTGTGCTTCCATCTCATCAACTGCCTCGTTCCACAATACCCGTCTTGTCACTTGGACCATCATTGAATTCAAGTTTAGTCACAGAAGCTTCAAGCTTTCCGTCAATGTTGATGTCTGATTCTCGTATCAGAAGGATGGTGTTTCTTCCATCAGCAATAGCAGCTTCGAAACAGTTCCGTGGAGTAAGTATGTGCAAATTGGTATCAAATACCCGTATCTGCTTTCTCATATACTTCACAGCCATTCTTTCAACCGCAGACGTGTCAGACGGATCCACATCGAGCGTATGTGCTATCCTCCATTCGCCTCGCTCTCGAATCCGAAAAGTGATCTGGATTTGTTGTGAAGGTAATTCGATTGATGGACGCCCCTATAAAGTTAGTTCGCTGAACAAAGAATATACGTCAACACCTACCCGTTGTCTAGCCGACTGATCGTTCATGAGTGTACGAGGAATCCTACCGTCATTATCTTCATCTGATCGTAACACGCCTCCACCATATTTCTTGGTTGGCTTCAAATTGGTTGGCTTAGGATTTGAGTTCAAACCTCGTTGGCCCACTCGCTGCTCGGGTACCTGTGGTTGATTGACTGGTTTTTGTAACGGGGTATGCCGCTTGTCATCAAGAGGGGGCTTTTTTGCATCCACGCCAGGTTTGAGCAAGGCAGAATGGTCCGCCACATGCCTAAAATATCCCCCCCCAGAAGCCACAGATTTTTGTCGGAATGATTCGTGCATTGCCGATTCCTGGTCGAATTTCTCCTTCTCAAGTCGCCTTGTTTCTAGTTCTTCTTGGTTGCGTTGGTCCTTCTCACGTTGGTCCTTCTCACGTTGGTCCTTCTCACGTTGGTCCTGCTCATGGTCCTGCTCAAGCCGTCGTAGCACCAGGAGTTCGAGTCGCTGTTGTTCCTGCTCGCGTACTTCTTTCTCGCGCTGCTCTTTCTCGCGCTGCTCTTTCTCGCGCTGCTCTTTCTCGCGCTGCTCTTTCTCCTGTTCTTCCTTCTCGCGCTGCTCTTTCTCCTGTTCTTCCTTCTCACGTTGGTCTTTCTCACGTTGGTCCTTCTCACGTTGCTCCTTCTCATGTTGCTCCTTCTCACGTTGCTCCTTCTCACGTTGGTCCCTCTCACGTTGCTCCTTCTCACGTTGCTCCTGCTCGAGCCGCTGTTGTTCTAGTCTCTCTAACCTCTCTATTTCGACTCGCTGCTGTTCTAGCTGTTCATGACGTTGTCCACCGGTTTCATGGAGTTCTGGCTGTGTCGTTCTGGATATTTGCCAATCTGTACACTCCACATCATTACTTTGCGACAACTCGGAAGTGGAAATGATGGTTTGACTGGATGAAGGATAGCCTCGTAGCAGGTAATCAGGGATGTTTTCCAACGCGAGGTCCGAAATTTTGCCGAAGAAAGCTTGATAGACAGATCGACGGACGAAAAATGAGGTAATCTCCTGTCCTACCTCGCTGCCCTCGTCGTGAAGATAAGGCAAGAAAAGGAACCTGCTGTCCTGTTCCTGAGCATCCTCATCGGGGAAGCCACACCGATTTCCTGCTGCGTCAGGATCTCCAGAAACCAAGACTGGACTGAGGGGTCCGACAGGAAGCGGTGTGGCAGTCATGAATAACTCCACGATTCGCCCGACATAGTCCTCCAGATGAGCTTCGTTATAGCGGTAGCGATCAGGTTTGCGAGCCTTCAGCAGGGCGTTGCGTGCAATCTGCCAATCTGACGATTGCCGGCTCAATTCTTGGATCTCCTTGGATTCAAATCCTAGTCGTTGAGCAAGGACAACGAAATCTGATAAAATTGCCTCATCTGCTTTCTCTGGCCCAGCTTTAGCCAACAAATCTTTTCCCTTCTTACTCGCGTCGATAGGTATCGCTTTGTAATGACGCATTGCGAAGAGCCACAGTTGTCGATAGCATAGGTCAAACCGGTTGCCCATTGTTCCTGCTTTGACTGAAAAGGTTGACTCGGCTACTTCGATAATGCTCTGTTCCTCTGCAACCTCGCTGTATGCGAACTTTCGCTGGAAAGCAGTACGCAGCGTGTCTCTACGTGACACATGTACCAACTGTTTCAAACAATTTGCAGGAGCACTGAGGTACTTGAGGTCCTCAAAGAATGTGAAGAGGGAAGGGATCAGACCATCGATGGAACGCAAATCGAGCCAGATCTCTTCACGCTCTTCTCTGCTGAAAGCACCAAAGATTTGACCACTGAGCATCTGCCCGTAGAGAAGCAGGGACTCTCGCCGGGAGTATCGCGGAGCTCGAAGCTCGAGTGCTTTCACAGTGTCTTGATCGACCTTTTGCAGAGCTGCTTTATCACCACGCAAGAGTCGATGCCACACCTCTCGAACATGTTCGAGATAGTGGAGAACTTCCTGATCACGACGTGAGCCAGATTCGGCTGCACCGACAAGGAACCTACTTCGTCGCACTTCATGCCTATCATCTTGTGGAGAGTACTGATCCTCATGCCATCCCAGAGCCCGGGAATATCAAGCAGATTATCAAACGCAGCGGTCAGCTCTCCGTCCCCGTGATTAAACAATTGTTGTAAACTTCGCCGTCCGTGGGAGGAGAGGCGCGCCTTCCACCGCTTCTTGAAACAGACATTGCCTTCTCGCTCGTATTGCCGAATTTTGCGGTAGATTTCTCCGTCGGAGGGTTTGCTTTGGTTGGAATATTCTTCCACCAAAGTTGCCCTGAGTTCAGGGTTAGTGTCTAGCACACGAGAGACATCAGCGCACGTCCTGCCGATCAAACGTGGTCATACCGGTGAGATAAAGGTCGACCGTCCACCACGCATCCGTCGGAGGCAGCGTTTCTCGGGCGGCTTGAATGCGGTGTCCGCCATGAAGGCAGGTCAACTTGTAATTTCGGGGAAACTTCAGCATCGGAAAATTACCATCCGGATTGCTCAGCAACGTTTCTGCTAGGATCTTGGAGTCTTGAACGGCGCTATCGAGGTCTTTCTCACTTAGGACAGCGGGAATGTGATTTCGAGGTTCTAGCCTCTGAATGTTTTCCGTGCGGAACACCTGTTTCAGTCTCTCAACATTTTTTGGACTCAGCTCTCTGGCCTCTCCCCACTCAAAATGAAGATGGTCAAGCCTGACACGTGCCGTGCCTCGGTATTTGACACTTCTTTCCAGGTGCAGCCTCCTTTCGCGTTCGGACGATTGTGCTCGACGCATTCTCAGGTGGTTGATCTTGGCGATATCAAATGATCACAATGTCCTGGGACGACGGAATGAAGGTTCTTAAAGCTCTGTGAGAGGAGAGATGGGGCGCCCCCAAAGTCTTATGGCTTCCTGATTGGCGGCATTAATTCCAGTGGAGGGTTCTTAAAATAGTATAACTAGCAGGCGCAATCTTCATGAACCGGTCTTGCTCGCTTGATTTCTCTTTCGCTGCCTAGATCTACCTCGACTTCTTTTGTTGCCTAAGACCTCACGACGATGGATCCATCTAACCACCGCCACACACAAATTGATATGCACAGGTTTGCAAAGGTTAAAACCAGCCCTTCCTCCGACAGTTCCAAACTGCCCAATTGGAACAGTCCCAGCCAAACCACACTGAAGCGGACTCTAGATAAGAAAAGACCCCATCCACCAGATGAGGATGCACCGAAACCCTTTCCCAAGACAAGCAAAGTGAGTTCAAAGACCGACGAACCTAGAGTGATAGGCGCTGTTAAGCTCCGAACGGCGTGGGAATCGCCCTGGGAGCAATATGAGAAAGTCTATGATCTTGAACTCGCCGGCGCGGTTGAAGTAGCCGTTCGGAAGAAGGCTCCAGTTCACCTCGTCCATGTGAGAAGATTCTCCAATGCCGAGTCGGAGAAAGTACTCCATCGGTTCCGACAGCTTCTGCACCCGAACATCGTCGTCGCCTTGGACGTTTTCATAAACAACGATGGGCTCTACGTTGTGCTTGAGCATATGTCCATCGCCCTTGAACGGATCGTCACTTCCCCTGCTTATCCAACTGAACAACAGCTTGCCGCCATTCTGGGCCAGGTGAGTGGCGTCCATCTAGCTGACTGCATTTCCTCACTACCATAGCTGCTGAACGCCATGGCTTATCTGGCGGAGAAAGGATTCGCGCACGGATGTCTTTCTTGCTCGAATATCCTCCTGAACGTGGATGGAACTCTCAAGATTGGTGAGACTTGCCCCCATGGCGCCTCTGTCGGAAGCTGATCCCATGTGCCAGCAAACCAGGAGTGCTGTCACTCCGTAGTAGGGTCCGATGGAGCCAAATGGGATCTCAGAGATCTATCTTCTATCACAATGGAATTGATGCAAAAGTATGTAAGAGAGGATGGGCCTATTGCCATCGACAACGTAGACCGTTGGGATTCTGCTTCGGACGCCGTTCGGTTTCTGACGGCTACGACGTCTGCAAAGTCCGTGTTTGAATTGCTCAAGGTACGACCGCTCATCTCTATTCACGCTCAAGGCTAACCTACATAGCATCCGCTCCTCACTCAGCCATGGAAGAAGGAATCCCTTATGGGATTGGTATCGCTAGCTCAGATCTGTGTGCGTGGACGCTATAAATATATGGCTTAATCTGACATGGGATTACCCTGGAATTCCACGAAAGATCACAACTCTAAAAGTTGTCGTTTGGCCTGAGACTTGGCTCGAGCTTGGAGGCCGTAGTTCTAATCATAAGGGATTACAGTATTCCAGTCAGTTACAAGGAGAATATCGAGGCCTTAGATTGGCAGGAAATCTTGGGAGTGGGTGTGGTTGCTCTTAAAGTATTCATCTACCGTAAACCAGCCATACTTCTTACGTAGTTTGCTTACAAACAGGCCCCGTACGAGACATCCTATGGGCCATACGTTGTAGGACATCGAGCCTGAGACAGCTGCTGGCCCCATGATGTCCCAACTCCGCGGTCCCATGGCCCTCTTTGGCCCAGGACGAGCGGGTTGGGACGCATCTGGCTCGAGGACATTTGGTGCAGCCCACTCCCCATGCCAGGGCGGAACCAGTCACAGGAACGATGTTCTATCTCATCATCGGTCCCAGACATAGGCTAAGATTACTTAACGTAATGTTAGTCTCCATGCACGGTGAGTCCTATCCGGAAGACTAGATTTTACAACACAAATCGGTAATATAGCCATGAAGTTTTGTTATTTTAGTGATCTATATCAACTGCACTACAATTCGTGATGATGGTTTCATAAAGTGAGAAAGAGGCATCATTCCCCCGAAATGTGAGCTAGAACTGAGGCTCATCCGCAGGGAAGCAGGTCGGCACGCTTAAGTAGTCCCTCTCCTGCAGATATGCTTGACACTGTGTGAAACCATCGGGGTGGAATAATTAGAACCCTGCCACAAGACACTTCGGTGTCATCTGAAACATGGACTGATCAGCTATTCTAGCCATCGATACATTTATTTGGCGTGTGGTGCTTGCAGAGAGCATTCCATACGATTCGAAGTGTCTAGGTCTATAGATTTTTACTGGTCCGTTTGCATTTCATCCCGGTGAGTCATCCCCTCAAGATGATCGTTTAGCAAACGCCATGCTGATTTCGCTTTGTTGGTACGATGTACAAGTATGCTTGAATCATCCAAACCGATCATCGGGTTGGAGCTCTCAGGTGATACCACAAGAGAGGACTCATGACTTGGCTCGGGACGTCGCTTGCGCTTTGGTCCTTCCTTAGGCATTGCATAATCCTCCATGAGATGTAGTGTGATGCAGTCAAGACGTTGAGACATCATTATGTCCCAAGTGTGTTCGGGGCTCATCGAATGGTGTCGAGAATCGTAGGGGATTAATCCATCTCTCTTGCACTTCTCGAGGATATCCTGTAGCTCAGAACGATTTAGGTATACCTGACGCTCATCACCGGAAGGGTCTATCTTAAACCCAATTTTTCTGACCTGCCCTCCCATGCTTGCTGATTGATGCTGGTCCTTGGGTAGCTCAAGCTGTGATTGGAACGAGAATACCTCCGCCCTACTCTTCTCCAACGCTGTAGATGCCTCAGCTTCCTTCAGTTCAGCTTCTTGACGCATTTTGCCTTCATTGTCTGTCCTGGACTGAGAGACGGTCAATTCTTGTTGTAAGTGGGCTATCTCTCCACGCAAACCCACGATCGTTGATGCCTCCGATTTACGGCTTTCAGATGACTCGTGCTCTTTCTTCTTTAAAGCAGTGAGCTCCTTGCGTAATTTGCTTGTTGCTTCTCGAGATTTGGCATTCTGAACGTCGGATTCTTTTCGCTTGCCTTCAAGCAGCACGATATTGGCCCTTAATGCGCGAATTCCTTCTACAATCTGAACCTTTGCAGTGTTCCCTTGTTGTAGAACGTCTTGAAGTTGCCTCAGACCGTCATCAGCGGCGACGTTCCCTGCCGCAGTAACCTGGGAGACGATCAAGCCGAGCTGTTCGTGATTAGCGGCATGGTTGTCCGTCCTAGTCATTGCGAGTACACCCTCGGGACTGAAGTCTTGTTCACTGCATGTGGAGTTGTTGTCGGCCAGTGTTTGTATTTGGGTGTCAAGAGGTGATGCTGTTGTCGATACCATAGTGAGGTCGGTAACGACATCCGTTTCCTCGTCCGATATAGCCATCTGAGGTGCTTCTATGAGATCACGCCCTATCTCGCCAAAATGTTCTACCATTTGTGCAATGGCTGTGCCCACGGTCAGTACCGATTGCAATTTAGCTTCAAGGCCAGCCTTTTCCGCTTCGATTTTGTCTAACCTTTGTTGCAAGTTTTGGAGATTTATTTGGTAAGACTGGCTTCTCGACCGAGATTCATCCTCCAGCTGTGTTCTAGCCCGAAGACTCTCGTTCAATGTGGTGTCCATCCCGCTCAGCCGTGCTTTCAATGCATCAACTTCGTGTCTTTGGTGTGTCTCCTGTCCCAAGAGACGACCCTGGAGCTCTTCAACTTGTCTGGCTTTGTCGTTGTCTCCTCTCAGTGTTATCTCCTGACTCTGGCGCAGGGCAAGTTCCTTCCGAGAACATTCCTGCTCAGTGCGATCGAGCTCCAGCTTGTATCGCTGGCACTCGGCATCATGGACCAATTTGTCACGATCTAGCTGTGAAGATAAATCTTTGATCTTACTTTCAGCTTGCAGCAACTTCTCATCGACGGTAGAGTGTTGCTGAACGCGCTCTTGAAGCACGGCTGTCAATTTCTGTGCCTCTTCGCGTATGACAGTTTCATTCCTCATGACTTCGTGTAGACTTTCCAACTCGACTCGAAGCTGATTTATCTCAGCCCGCAACTGAGCCTCCTCGTCTTGTGCTAGCCTCTCCTCAGATCCAACATCGATCTCTGAACTGATGGAAGCTGTGGAATCCATATCCAAGTCTACCGGGTCACGTATCGAAGAGTCACTGACGTTCTCCGGGTATGCTAGAGGCTTCTGATCGCCAAACAGATCACCAAAAAATGCCTTCAGAACGGCGAATCTGACAAAAAGAGGAGATATGCCCTCACCAGACTCCCCTTGGTAGGCCCAAAAATTGGGGAAAAAAGTATGATCTTGGTTGTAATTGTGGGCGAACTCAAACGTCCGTCCGCATCTTCTGTCCAGCCCTTCGCCTTCTCCTTTCAATACCCACTTGAGTGATGAATGGGAATATTCCTGTTCATGAGCTGTGAAAAATTTCTGAACAATATCCAACTTATGCTGCTGAAACTCGACTTCATCGTAGAAAAATCGAGGGGGTTTTCGCGCCAGGAGCAACATGGTTGTGGCAATTTCCTCATCAACGTCTTTTTGCTTGAGCTCGAGAATTTTCTCACTTTCAAATCCTAGATGATAGGCAAGTTGAGCAAAAGACGCCCATATTGCCGCATCCGGTTCCTTTGGTAAGGGCTTGGATTTTCCTGGCTCTTTCAGTGGACATTCCCGAATGAGATTAGGAAATTCACGGCTGGCAAAGCAAACTAACTGTGCAATTCCCCAGTTAAACTGTTGCGTTGTGGTACCTTTATATTGACATCTTGTGTGGTCAGAAGTTTGGACGTCGACAATGTCCTCTGTGCGATCGACAGGGCTGAAAGCATGCCTCAACGTTGCCCTTAGTGTTGTTTTCAACGAGCCACTGCACAAACGTCTGATGGCTTTAGCTATAGGACTGAGGAATTTTCGGTCCTGGGCGGCGGAATGGAGAGAGGGGATAAGGGTAGAAATCTTAAGGATTCGATTCCAAACGAAACGTCGTTGATCTGGGTCTCGAATAAAAGGAAACAATCTGCCGTTCTCCATAAGCGGATTTAAATGTTTGAAATCTTGCAGGCATCGTCCTGGCACTCGGAGTTGCATTTCTTCAACAGAGAAACGGTCGATTTGTAATATGAGGTCTTCATTCCCATCGAACATCTCCGACCAAGTCGTCACAATATGTCGGAAATAGTGTACAAACTCCTACCAGCGCGTTAGTGACACGTCCATCGCCCGGCATTGGGGACGTAGCTCACCTCGTCGCATCCCATGCTAACTATGTCATGACACATAGAGAGTGTAAGTCCAAACCGCTGACCAGGCATTTTGAGGACTTCTTCGAGTGACGCACGCAGCATATCATGTTTGAGGAACTGGGTCAACCTGGTCTGCTTGTTAGCGGAGAGTCGGGCGCGCCAACGTCCTTCAGCGTAGACATCCCCCTGTTTGTGGTATTTTCGTACATTGGAATAGATCTCTAGATCTGAGTATTGTCTTTGATTTGAATACTGGTCTGTTAGCACGTCCCGAAGGTCGTTACTTGTATCTGAAACGTGTTAGCCCTTTCATCTAGAAAATAGTCAGCGGACCATACCTTCGAGATATAGATCGACCGCCCAAATGCGACATCCGGGCTCTAAAAAGTGTTCAGCCGCTTTCACTCGAGAATAACCTGTCAAGCATTGTAGCCGGCACGAAGGTGGAAGTTTTAGGACTGGGGGACTGCCACCCGGGTTCTCCAAAAAGACGTCTTGAGTTTTCTCCGACAATCGAAGAGCTTGTTCTAAGACCACTTGACTAATAATTGCCACAATACGATTTTCTGGCTCGAGAGGTAAGCAACCTTCAGTGCGGAATATATCCTTGAGTCGCTCTACGTTGCTTTTGGGAACCCCCTTGTGTCTCTTCGTGCTGATCCTGGGCTCAGCTGAGGGCTGGAGGTCAAATTTCAAATGCTCAATGTCAATCCGTGCGGTGCCGCGGAAGCTCGTGCTTCGATCCTCACATAGTAGAATCTGTCGTTCGTCAATCAAGTTCTGAAGCATCTTGCTCGTTTAGACGGCTTCGATATGGTGATTCCTGTGTGACGATCAAGAGGTCATGTTGTTGAAGTAGGCTCACTAACGAGCCTGAAGCATCGGTCGGCGCTGGGTTCTGGTGGCGCGGAAGTTATTTTCGGTGCGGAAGTTATTTTCAGCACACGGCCAAGTTTAAAAATAAACGTGTGATACCTTCAGCCCCTCTATTCGCTGGAGTCATTATTTTCGGTATTGTTGATTACCGATCTAGCTACGCTGCCTGGTCGAGAAGTGGTCGTCGAGAACGAATAGCGCATAGAGTCTTCGCCGACCGAACTTCTGTAGATTTGAGGAGCCAACTGGAGAGCGCTATTGTGAAGTAAGGAACAAAAACCCAAAATAATTGTGAAAGTACAAGCCACGACTAATTGCGGTCATATCCTCTTCCAACGTGAGCATACAATACAATAGTTTGACACATGATGCCTAGATGGAAAGATACACTAGGAGGGCTTTTGTGACAAGCAATGCCGTAACGCACTGTAGGGGATCGGAGGGACCAAGAGAACATCAAAGTGGGCGTAATTCGCAGATAGGCCTCCTCATCATACCAAATTTCCACCCATAATGGAAAGATAACGAACTGACCGAAGTGACCTGCTTGACCACTGATGCGCAATTGTGGAACAGGACCTATGGGTGGGAATCGCCGATCCAATTGCTTGTGACCAGTGGTAGTCCGACCGTACCACGTTGAGTTCCGAAATGAGTTCCAGCAGTATTATGATTGGAGAACCATGAATCTAGCCCACCGTACCAGTGAGCATTCAAGGGTAAGCCTGAAACAATTTTCTTCGTACTAGAAGAGGTCACTTTCCTCCGTACATACGTAAGGATATGTGGACGAATCCCCCCAATCCCTTCATTTCCCGAATCATTCGAACCGTATTGCTTTCCTACACGCACATGAAGTCTCCAAGTCCGAAAGATCATATTGCTTGCCAAAGCTTTCAACGTTTCGTAATCGAAGCCCTCGGAGTTCGACATGAGAGAACTTGCACTTGCCTTGCTCGGGCCCGTGACATGATATGTCAGTGGTATCCAACTCTGGCTCCTCAGATTACCGCGTTCTACGCCCAAGGCATAGAATTTCGGCAAGCTCTCTTGAATTCCTTCCAGAACTCCGAAAGCTTATACGATCGAATAAGATGGTTCGACGAAGAGGAAAATGCAAGACTCAAGAGCAGTCGCGCGCTTTTCTCCCCACTCGACCCGATAACAATGACGGTCGATACAAACGACTCAATGTTAACAAGTGCAGTCCAAGAACAAGATTTGAATCCGGCGCCTTCGCGAGAAGCTAGTTCAGGAACCTGCATCTCCTCCCAACACTTCAAAGCTATTGACGACCAAAATTCGAAGATTCACCTCCAGGAAAGACGAGCATCGAAAGGTGGGAGGCTTCATCGAACCGGTCTACCACAGCTAACTATGTACACAAATCTTCCCTACACGGACGGTGGAAAACAGGGAATGAACCAGAAACCAGGACCTCAGCGTACTGATAGCTACGACCGGAGAAGACTCGTGCAGTTCATCGAGAACAGCTCCAATCCACAGGATGATAGGTCTCCTACTATCGATTTTGAGTTTCCTTCCCAAGAAGCACAAGCAGGAAGGCAGCAAATAACGCTACCCGAAAAACTTTCAGACAGTGCCATACGCCGGGAGAAGGGAAGAACGAGAACAACAGATGATAGTGATAAGGTGGGCATTCAGAGTAAAGAGCAAGGGCAAGGACTTAGAAAGCCGACTGGAAGGTATGAGTTGAAAGGTCAAGTGAACGAGGAGAAAAGAGCAAAAACTGAAGCAGATGAAGAAGAATTAGGCGGCAGTTACGAAGATGACAACGAGACCGTTAGCGCGGGTCTGGACCTAGAGCGAGAAAAAGAGTTGAAGAGATCTGGCACAACAGCAATTGGTGAATCCATTGACCTAGATGGACATTCAAGCAACTATCAATCCAATAAGCGAGCTCATCAAGATACTGTTACTGAGAGCCCTCTGTTGAACCGGTCTAAACTGACAGTCAACGTAGACATGGAGTCTTCAACGTCAAATACTACCACTACAAGCACGGAAATCTCCCAATCTAGTGAGTCCTGTTGGCGCAACGATGACATGAAAAGAAAAGCCGAGACCGGCCGCTCCCCGGAAGTTAGCGCTCATAAGGTGTGGAAGCGTCCCTCTGCGAAATATAATTCTGGACTTCGACGCAGCCAAAGGGGACAAGACAGGCCCCTTCGTAGTACGGACGATCTCAAGCAATCCGCACGGGAAGGGCTCCGCTACAAAGGCTGCAGATGCCCTGTCCACCAGGGGATGTACGAAGACTGGCCAGCATACGATGCCGAGCTGACCATCGCACCATGCATGAAGACATCCGTGTACTGTGGCAACATTTTTCGATCGGCGTCCGAACTACGCAGGCACCTGAGAGGACACAGATATGCTAGAAAGAATCTAAGGGTACATCTGGAAGATCCGGGCAAACTGAATTCGACTACTCCAAGCTGGACCCCTCGGCTTAAGATTATCGAACCCAATCCATCTCAAAGAGAGTGTCCAGACCAACCATCCAAACCCCGCACGACCAGGAGACAGGCTAATAAAGCGAACGCCAAAATGGCACCATGTCCATGGTGAAATGCCAAGAACTCTACACCTTACAATAAGGGGTTTCAATATTGCAGAGACGTGGTCCTCGCATGCCTGTTCCAGACCGGGTGTGAGTACGGGGGCTATCTCAGTATGAATGGGGGAGGTCATGCTAACCAGAAGGGGCTAGATATCTGCAAGCATCAGGAGGGCAACAACCTATAATCTTACTTATAGCTGGAATGCTGAAAAACGGCTTAGTGGAACCGGGGACAGTCTATGAACCAATCAATCAAACACTCAATGGTATCGTGTCGCAGAGGGTAGCGTGCCGCACAGGACAGCCTGGCGCAGACGGTATTATCAAGCATGACGTAGGGTCATCTGAGGTTGAAATGCCGTAGCGTGCCGCACAGGGTAGCGTGACGCAAGTCGCGTGGGGCCAAAAGGTACACTTCAAGGCTGAGAGGCTTAGCGTGCCGCAGGGGTTAGCGTAGCGCGGAGGGTAGCGTGTGGCAACACGTGCCAACAGGATCTCATGGCATTGGAAACAAATGGCGCGGATTCAGCCCGGTAGCTGGCGGTCGGGCACACATCGCCGCAACGCAAATGCTGAGGTAGGCTACGGATTTACGTCTGACTCATGCCGTCTGTCGAATCCCAGGTCGCAGCTAGTCGGCAGAGATGACTAAGATTACAGATTCAGTATTGTACTCACGTGAACACCCCACCTTTATGCCCGGTATCTGCCTGAGAAGGCAGCTCAAGGCATATCCGGTACCCTCAGGGCCTATGTGCAGTTTGGAAGAAATGTTCCCATCAACTTATGATCATTCGCTTGCTAGACCATTCCCCAATCTCTTATGTCATGTGCTCTAGCGACGTCACCAGGCTACCTTGAAATCGATGCTCAATGTTCAAACTCCCGTCGTTGGGCATCATATTACTTCCGTGCTTGAGGACCTCCGAGTTGCTGCACGGCATAGACATATGTCGGAATATCACTAGACAAACCATCATCAACGCGACAGAGTTTTATCATACAGCGTAAATAGGCAAACTTTGAGGGAAGAAATTCAGGGAAGGGAACTATGAAACGGTTTTGGCCACTTGGTTTCTAATTACAGTATTAGGACTCTGGCGAAGAGGAAATTGTAGTAACCGCATGCGACCAGAGCTGGGTCTGAATTATGATGACTCAATATACTGCATTGGTTCAACGAATGTGATGACTCCACTGTTAAGTCTATATCGGCGTGGCACACAATAGGGAACAGGCACACGAGACTGATGGCTAAGATAGACACAGCTTCCGAACCATATGACAACATTGGTATATTTTTAGTATTACGAAAAACCTAAAAATAAACAGAAAAGTCCACGGCTTGCAAGAGCCAATGGTAGCACATTTTTCAAGTATGTTGGGACTTTATCAGATGCTGTACCCTGACCAGGTACTTCACCTTTTGAATTGAGACCTCTTCCGCCTATCATTCTGTTCCTGACTTTACGTTTTGCATTGCAGCATGACCTAATTCGACAACCTCTCAGGTCTTGTTACGTAGAGGTGCGATAGTGGCCAAGAGACAATTTTCAAAAGTATTTCTGGGACCATTGATTCTTTCGCATTATTGTTCTTTTGTGGATAGTCCACTGTACGTTACACCTTCACCCTCGGTCTCCACCATGCGACATAGCAGAGCGTTGGAAGAAGCTGCCAAATCCGAAGAAGAGCGACGACTCAGATATCGAGGTGCGGCCTGCATCTCCCTTGACGCGTTGCAATTCTCTGAAGACGACTTGAAAACACTCGATGCGAAGAATGTAGAGCGTCTCGTCGAGGTTTTTCGCCGCGAAAGTTGTCAACGGCAGCCAATTAAGAACCACGTTTTGGTCCTCATCACGGAATCTTGCCTCGACCTCGCGTTGGAGACATCTGGAATCTCAGCCTCCTCCCTACTCACATGTAAGCCTGGCCACTATCCTCACCTCCGATTGCCCTCAGACACTCGGCTCGTGTGCCTCAACGGCAAACACCGGATTCAAGCTGGTCGGTAATTTCTCCCGGCCCGAGACAAGTGGTGGGTAGTAGACCTTTACCTGGAGGGTAAGTGAGACTGTCAAAACACATAAGCTCCTCGAATGCTCACATTTTTAGACGTTTCTTCGACGACTCGCCAAGATCTTATCGAGGAATATTCGAACGAGAAGATTCCTTCCGATGGTGAGGCTTATCGCAAGATCCGCCAATACCATTTTGAGCGCAACTTCCGGTTAGAAGCACGGTGGTGGGCTCGACTACGAGGCTGCCGGGAGCGAAATCTCAAGGCTCTTCTTAAACATGCCGAGATCACGGCTGCATTCGATACGCTGCTCCACGTCCCTGGCTTGTGGGCGGGAATGCAATTGTCCACAATTCATAAAATCTTAGCATTGAACTCTGACGATGTAAGTCGTCCAGAGAATGCACTTGGCTTCATGTTAACTGGCGGTAGGAGATTCTCAATCATCTCGAGCACATCTGGCGATTCTGGCACAACTTAATGGATGGGGACCTCATTGCCCTGCAAAAAGTGGATGAAGGTACGGTGAAGTTCCTGGAGCTCCGGGCACCGGGCGCATCTACGTCGGATGCGGATGAAATCCAACACCAACTCGAATGCGGAAAAATCTTTGGTGCCTTCAGTAGCCAGGAGCGGGCGTGCTTCTTCCACCATCTAAGTCAATACCACTCACTGATTCCTTCTTTGCACACCTTCTTCCGCAATTTTACATACTGGGAAGCATGTGTACAAAGTGTCAAACATTTAACGACTTGGACTCGTCGTGAGACTGTGATGTCGGCCTTTGAAAGGTGTTATACAGGCGCCAATCAGCACGACGATAAAGTGTTGATACAAGTGGATGAGTCAAATTTTGCGGTAACTTCGGGAAATTCGAACGACCGGATTGAGCTCGGCTATCGTCAAATAATGGCCTTTGCGATGAGACACCTGCTCGAGCTGCCGTGAAGGGCCTCGAATGATTATGCCACAGTCAGACCGCGATTAAATGCAAGCAAGGGACTACTCTATCGATTTGCTCGTTTGGCATTTCGTCTCGGATTCGAATCTCCCGAAATTCATGCCCTACTCATTGATAAGGATGATAGCGAAGGATACCAAGCACCAGTTACATTTACTTCGAACGCACCTCTAATGGTAACTTCAGGGTCGGGTGTAAAGCTTCGACGAAGATGTGGCTTGCCCCTTCTGGATACATTTCGGAAGGATCGCGAGTTCTTGTTTCTTCATTATCTCTAGGATGTTCAAACTGACCGAGACGAGGGCATCACCTCCTACTTCGTACTCAAGGCCACATATTTCGCCTTTCTAGGTCAATCAAAAAGTGAGATAGATCTGTCACCTCGGGGACTGCGTGCCTTGGACTCAACCGACATCGGTAATTCTAGTCCCGTGGAAGTGACGGAGGGAGAAGGACAAGAACAGGATGACTGGTGGGAGCAGGATATGGAACAAGTTGCACTCGTGCAGGTTGCAGGACAAGCATTTGACCAACCCAGGCTTGACCAAGCGGCACGAGAAGATGCTATGCACCAAGCATATGATCAAGCCGCGAATGACCAACTAGCACGAGAGCTTGAAGAAGCGGCCGGAGAACAAGCTACTTAACAAGCTACCTAAGAAGTATATGGCCAGTAACGAAGTTATGGGACTATCTGAAATGGGTCAGTACATAGTATAATCATCATAGCTCTCAAGAAAGACAACTGAAATGATTTTATCTAAGTTTCCGAACGAATGTCGAATATTCAGGATGATGCAGAAGAGCCGAATACCTGAGGATCCTCATTATCCTTCTCATGTCTCTTGACGTGATCTGGATCTTGCGGTTCATCCTGCTCCTCATCACGTTTCCGTTTACCTAGCACTAAGGAAGAAGAGCGAGCAGTCGTAGGAGCGCTCAAATCGTCTTGCTCAGGACTTGATTTCGGACAACGCTGTGTTTCCTCAACACAAGTTTCCATCGTCGTGCCACAACACCAGCATGAGACCTCCTTGACTGTCGGGGGCCACGTAAGCGACGTTGGCACGCGAGGTGCTTTTCCTCCGATGCTGCGCCTTACACGTGGGATCCAAAACCATTCGACGGCTTCTTTGATTGTACTCTCGATCCCCAAAACGGGGTCTGCCACCATATTGAGAAGCTCCTCTTTAGAAGTATGCAACCCGTGCTGTTGATCATGTTCCGTAAGTACGGTGGTCAGGACTCCAGAAATCGATTCTTCTATGCCGGTAATATAGAAATCGGTCGTATCCTTGGTTCCATGCGTATTGCCTGTAATGGACCAAAAGGCAGCACGTAGACGGATCAAATTGAGAAATGAGAGGGTCATCGATGGTTCGCGAAGAGTTGACAGGATTGCTTTTGCCAGTGATCTGGCTGCCAGCCTCTTACATCGGGTACAACGATGTGTTCTGTGCCTTGGACGGCGATAGACTTGCGAAACGAAACCATCAAGTAAAAGGTCGGTTTCATTGAGGAGAACACAGGTGCAGCGCTTTTTGACCATGACTTCGGTTCGAAATTTCAGTTGAGAGGAATATCAAGAATGATAAGAACGAGAAATATTTCAATCCTGAGAGAGCTGGGTCTTATAGCAAGATCAATTCCGCTTGGCATATCAGGCCAAGCTGATTGTCGAAGTGTCTCATTTTGGGGAGTCTTTTCGAGCTCGTCCTATTGGCTCTATTTTACAAGGAGTCCCTGTTCATCTTTGTTGTCACTAGAGAACAAGGCAGACTCTCACATATACCAGCCGTCCATGCTTCCCCGAGACGAAAGTGGCCGAGCGCAGCGTATTTCAACAAGACCCGGCTGATGTTGAACAGGGATCCACCGGGCCATGTCTGCCTTGTGCTGGCCTGAAATTATGGTTTGTCACCGGACTTTGTGATCCAGTCCTTACCTTGGCCCAGAATTCAAGTGTTAAAACTACAGCGGAACTTGAAGTTTAAATCTCATGTTTAACACTTCGCCAGAACACAATGCATCCCTGACGGAATGGTCGCATGCGGGAGTACTCTGTAGCTGTATATCAAGGACACCCGAAGACTGAAATGGAGTTATGTTCTTGGTATCATCCTCCGTTGCCGCTTGTAGGTCTTTCAGCGACTCCCACTCGAGGACTACCATACCATTTTTGAACCCCAGCGGAAAGAGGATCCACCGAAGATAGGGTATGTCAAGGTTGGCAACGGAGAGCGCTTGACTAGGCATCATCGACACACTTATCATCAGCTGTGGTTCGCTTGTCGAAGTAGGTGGCTTGCTCGTCAAGGAGAGACAGGGAATGACCAAGCGGCATGCATGAGTAGACTGGTGTCCGGGTACATCTAGAGGACGCAACGCAGGGGCAGCTGACACGGTAACTCGCACAGCCCCTCCAACTTATGCAGGCTTGAGGGTTTAATTGTCACAAAGTCTGTCCTGCGGTCACAATCTGATTCCGCGGTGGAGGCTTGGGAAATACACTGGAGCACGTCGCTGCACACATCGTGCAGTTCCTTCCACCGGGATGCCTGGATTGTATTCTCCCTTCCCAGACGGAAATCACAAGTCTGCCTTGCCATCATATGCCGCGTCACCCACGGAGCAGAGACCATACTGAGTGAAATGAGGCAACCCCCCAGGGCCGTCTCCTGGACCTTCAAACCAATTGAACAGGGGAGTTCCAGGTGCTACATGATAGTCGACGAACGCACTTCGGTGCCCACAGTCCTCCTCTGAACCCTTGGAGGTAGCACCACGCCTCGTCAGAACGAACGATCTGGGGTGGGCTCAGCTTTTCGGTCGGGGAAGCTCTTCTGGAACAGGGACAAAGGCAGTTTGACGGGAGATCAAGATACCTCCCGAGCTCCGGGATGATTTATGTTTATTCAGTTAAGCCTCATTGTTGTATGCCTATACATTTTGTTGCAACATGAGCATTCGTTGTACGGGATGGCTTACTCTCAGCTCATCGTCTTTGGAACACGTCGAAATTTGTCGAAGTTTGTCGGGAGTTTGAAACTCCCCTCCGGTTGCAATATTGCTGGCATCTCAAGACCGTGGGGCATCTAAAACTAACAGAAGGCCAGCAGGCAGAGAAACAGGGGACCCCTTTGAAGGGGCCACTCCGTCCCGTTTTGTATGGTTGCCGGCGCAAATGCGAAAGGCGCCAAAAGTCATGTCCTTTCTCAATACCTTCCGGATCTGGCAATGGAAAATGCCCCACCAAGGAGGTCTAGACATACTTCAAGTTCTTGTTCCTTCTGAAAGGCACGCATAAATAAGGTACGGTCATCTCGATTTTCGGTGTCTGGTTTCGAGGTGTACACATCACACGACTTGCTCTGGAGACCTCCTCTAAAAGATGCCTTACGAAATTTTGCACAAGTGTGTTCCCATTCCAATTCACCTCATACTGCCTGGCTTCTGGAAGCTGATGATCGTATTTAGAGGACTACTTGAACGCAAGGTCTATATCAAGCTTTGCAACACTCTTACGTGTCTTGCCAACACAAATCAAATTCCCGAGTCCAGATGTGAATGGATACAAATCTTGAGAAGGTGCGAAGTGTCTCGAGAAATACACCTACAGGAATATCCTCAGTTGCCAATGCTTTTGAGAAGATGGGTACAAGAATTCAACATCCCAAGACCTGGTACTCCTGCATATGAGAAGTCTCAGTCTGCCATATGCTCTGCCTGCCAGGCACTGGATCGGTTGGAGTATTGCCAGGGTCAATTCCAGAGCTATAAGGACACTTGGAGATTTGCTATTGATGGTTTGGGTTGGAAATATCGGGGCACTGATTTTCGCTGGGAGTATCATAGCGAAGCCATCGATTGGGGTTACAATAAGTCCTCCAGGTTCGAACTTTGGCTATCTCCTAGAAAGAGTCTGACACCACGGGAACTACAAGATGACGAGTATGATTATAGCGACGACGAAATGGATGACGAGATGGATGAGACACGGGAAACGAGACTTTTAAGATCAGACGATGGTTCCGCCGATTACGACTTTGACATATGTTAGTGCTCCAGGGCGACCATCGGAGACTATAATGCATTGGCCTTCCATTTCTATTCTGTGCAATAGCTAGCAAAATTGGGTGTTGTCATCTCTAGGGAATAGGATAGTTTTCCGTACATAGCAGGAAGCTCCAGAAATCAAGCTTGAAGGGTGAGATCTCTGGATTCGTGAACGAGATTGGAAGCTTCAGGCACGGATACATTTGAATCCCTCTATATACATTTATATTGTTTGTCAAAGCTATGGATGGCGAGCAGGATCCGGGGTATAGTAACCCCATGTACCTGTTGCTCATCTCGCAACGAAGAGCCTGTTGCCATTCTGGAGTGTCAACTATTTATCGAAGTCCTACAATAGACTTAAAGAAAAAGGCTAAGAGTGAACCGGATTTTGCTACATGACGAGCTGCTTTACAGTCTTTGCAAAACCCAGTCGGAAATAGAGATGTATATCTGTGACCACGAGTTCCATGCTTGTCACTAATCAGTGCTCCTTAGGAATCTACCGTTGTGACTCTAGTGGACTCGCGCCTGTAGCTATATGCGAATTGAACCTCGTGTTCCCCACGTTAGATCTCTAGTAAACTTGCACCTGAACTGTGTACGGCTCCAAGTCAGCTGAGGGTATCACAATGGCAATCACCAAGAAGTCTACCTCTAGATCGCATGTCTCTGAAGCCCCCTAAATAATCTGGAATGTCGTGCCTCTTGTTCCATTTTCTCGCAAAGAATGACATTCCCCTGGTCCTAGGAGTTGGCAATTCTCACAACCGTCCTCTAGGCACATCAGGACATCATTAGATTCGCTTGATAAGAAGAAGGCTTGTGGTTCGAAGGGAAGCTTTAGACAAGAAGTGCTTTCGCTTCCAGAAATGAACATATCGTTAATGCAGAGATCAGTTTGGTTGGACAAGGATAACACCCAGGCATTGGTATAAGGGACTTGAAGAGCTAGAGCGCCCATTAACGACATAACTGATAGTTTTCTGGCCATGCCCACGATGGAGAACAATACAAGTTGATGGAGTGGTGTTTTTGTACGGGTTCGAGGAGGTGATTGTCAAAATCTATACTTCATACATTTATATAGCGGCCCATGTGACTAGATTCCTAAAAATAGGTTCTACAGGAGCCCGGAAATAGAACAGCTGATCCAAAATGATACTGGGTCTACTGTGCTGTAAGCAATTTGCCGGAATAGATGACAATGCAAGGCAAAAAGTCCGCAGTACTGGTGTCAAATATTCACTTAATGTCGCCAAAGAAGCTTGGCTCTTCAAGATCATTTCGTGTACTTTCAGATGTGTCCGCAATAGAGAATCTCATACTGACCTGCTTGATTGCCCCTAAATTCTTTTCTGCCAAGCTTTCGCCACAATATTCTAGGCTCCAGCTTATCCCCATAGAGCTCATTCTCCCCTTTCATTCAATATTGATAACCACCATCATGCTCTCAAAATTCCTTTTTCTGGTTTTGAACCCGTTCTCCACCCGCGCACTGTGCCGACAGCTCACATTCTTGTTGGCTTTCAACGATTCTCCGATCCATGTTTTGTCGCCAATCATGCTCTCGGGCGTCCAGCAGGCTTTCCACTCGATGTGATATAGCTTAAGGTCGTCATCTTTGCGACTTTGGATGACACGATGCACATGGGCAAGTAGGCTGCCTTGACATTCCGCTTGACAACGCCGTGTGTGTGGTTCAAAAGCCGAAGGATCGTCCTTGTGTTTTTGGAGCATTTTCTCCAATATAACCTCAGCGTCTGGGATCTCGAAGTCGGTCGAAGACATCCATCGATCCTCAGTCCCTAGGAGATACTCACATTCGCCATGGCTATAACAGAATCTCTGCTCATAGGCTATATTCACGTCCCAAAGTCCATCGGAAGGGGACCCAACATCCTCAAGGTTAACGGAAGGGGTCATCAGTACACTCATTGCTGACCCTGGCCTTTCCTCCTCTCCCTGGGAAGCTGTGTGGTCAACATACGCCTCTGCAGTGAGAAGGTTGAACACAGGCAAGGAGGATATCGAATTGTCAGGTACCACTGTGATCGAACCAGGATCGAAGATGAGCGACCCAGAACTGTCGCCACCGACTGCTTCTCGTCAATGACTCTGATCCTACGGTAATATACGGGCGGACATACCTTCATCGTCGGTGTTGAGGGGAAATTGCCCATGTGTATGGTGAGTATCACGACACGATTCTCGACGTCCTTTGGGATAGACATCTTCGAAAGTATTGGACTGTCTAGAAGGCCGTTGTTGCTTCCCGTCTTGGTGCTTCGGGGTTGTCGACAGGAGAAGACGCGATTTTCGAATGCGGTGAGAACGCGATGGTGGAGAATTGGGCGTGATCACAACACGCCGAGAACGTAATGATCTCGCGTTGTTAATTTGGTGAAGGTGATCAGCGTGACGGGTGATAGCCATGACTGAAAGTACAAATGAGAAGGTGGAATATACCGTTGAAGGATTAAGAAGGAGGAAAGGAAGAGAAAAAGCGAACCTGAGGGCAATCGCCCATCTTTATACTCATCAATGCCCCTTGCTAAGTGCACTGCCTCTATCCTCATTCTTCCGTCGACAAGGTTAAGGCATGCATGGATGAAGAGAAGGCCAATCAACTCGAGTCCACGCCCTCTGCGAGTCTTTAGGCCGGCAATTTCTGTCTCACGTTCCAGGTCGGCAACGTCGATGTTTGGTACGGAAAATAACCAAAAGATATGAACCCACGTCGTGGCACCTCGATTCCGTTTAGAGGAAGCTGCCAGAGGCACCATTTATGTCAGCTTTAATCCTGCTTTCTAAATTCTCCTCGGTCTACCACGTTGCCGACTGCCTAAGTCGGCCATAAGGTAAGGAATTCATCTTTCAGCAGAGTCAATGGGATACCTGTTTCAGCATTGATGGGCGCGATCTTAGTGTCAAAATGCCTTTGTCCCACAATACTTCCCCTGAAGGCTTAGAATTCGAAACGACGCCTTGTCAGTACGAACGATCCGGTGAGGGCTCAGCTTTTCGATTGTGGCAAACCCATCAATTGCGTTTTTGGCTTCGTTTTTTGCTTTCTCTCCTCACTTATTTCTTACCCTATCTCTAGTCTTCTCCCGCTCAGTCCACTGCCCTTTTGTCACTTCCACGTCCCTCTTGGCCGCTGCTTGCGGTCCGCTTTGAGAGCTTTAAGAATTACATCAGTTGATGCAGAACGGTCACCAAAGCTCTTGTTACGAGTTGGGTCAGGTCAACGACGTGCGGCCCCGACGTGGTGGTCCATTGGTCGATTGCTTGGGTTTGGTCGTCCATGGTCCACTTCGACAGCTACGTGAATCAGTGCAACCTCGAAAGGGTACGACTTCCACCGATAGCCAGGCCCGTCCCCATCAACTTTGAGGCTAAATTACTCGGCAACAGTAGCAGCAGAAACAGCACTTGATCCCTAGCCATGGTCAAATCTGTCGTGTCAGTGCAAGTTGCTCCACGCGTTGGACATGGCGAGATGTGCGAGCTGTCACATGCCCGATCAACGAGAATTGGTTAGGCCGCAATGACAGAATTGTAAGTCACGACTACTCTTGCCAATCAGCCTGACTAAGTGCCTCTCAGCCTTACTACGTTCGCCCAGAATCTTTAACAGCGGCTCGAAGGCTTTGTCACCGATTGCAAACAGATTGCAAACATCTACATGAGCGTATTCGATCGCTAGCATCAGGTCGGGAAACGGTTGAGCAGACCACCGGCAATTTAACCACAGGAGTATCATATCGAGCAAAGCTCCATCAACATTCGCGGAGGCTTCCAGGCGCTCGGTAATCGTGTACGTGTTACGAGATGACGCTACCAGGTTTCGAACTCGCTCGACGCTGTCGATCGAAACTCCAATGGCATCAGCGATCGTCTGGGAAGTCTGGAGCAAAAACTCGAGAATGTCGTCCACAAAATTGACGACCTGAAAAGTCGTCTCAACGACGTCTGTCCCAACACCAATGACCTTCGAGAGCGAGTAAGGGCTGTGGAGGATCGTCTACTTCTGTGGAACCAAGTCCGCAAAACTTGAGCGAGCGCATTCGAACTCTCGAGCAGTTACGGTGCTGGCAGTAAGTTTGCCTCGACGTGAGTTGCTGCGCCTCCCGTGGTACGGAAGGCTCCGGTGATGATCTGTGCTGCTCTTCGATGGATTCCAATGTCGCTCTCAAATCTCCTGCCAATATATGCCAATATATCGGTAAGTTCCCGTGCGCAGGCTGATCGATACTCCTTTTGGAGAATCTTCCCCGAGGTAAGTTACAGGCGGAAATGGAAGCAACCCCAAAAACCCAGAAAACCAGACCTTTCTAATAACAAACCAGGTCGTCATTCAGGTCACAAAGCCAGAGCCCGAGGAAGATGGTTAAATAGAAGGCAGTGGGGCCCAAAGGGGTAAGGACCTGATCACGTGACAATATGGACAGTAACGAACTGTAGACTGTTGACACAGTCCATAGCAGTCCACAGTCCATGAAGGCATTATATATACACGGACATTGCACTGGATAAGACTACTCATAGTCAACTTCGTTAACAATCCTATACCTAGTTTTAGGAAGGCCTGGACAAGTCTGCCTTTCGTTTATAGTCCTATCTCTGTTGATATCCGTCCTATCAAGGAGCCAACTTGGTCAGACCAGCTCGCAGTTCAGATTATAACGTTAGGGTTGTGCTGCGATTGCTCCAGGACAACATAGGGTCATGGAACGATTCGCTTACGAAACAGTCGCAGGACTTCGAAATCGCTTGGAACAGCTCATCACCGTCCCAAGGAATCCGACTGTTGTTGTACAGGATCATTTGAGCCGCATCAGGGATTACAGTCGCCAATTCAAGCTAGGCTGCTATACCTTGAACAATGCAGAACTTCTGGCAACAGGATTTCATGATCTCATCTGCATACTGACAGCACCGACTAATAAGGCAGACACTCTGCCGTTTGAACCAATGGTAGCTGCGTCACGCACTTTGTGCTATTTGGACGATGCTCTCAAATGGGCCACCCAAGGCCAACGAAGCATACGAAATACTATTGTCCTGGATTCTCAGATTCTTCGCAGTGCACATTTCCGGCAAAGTGAACTTTCTAGAGAAGCGCACCATCGCAACGGACAAGGTTTTCGAGTCATACAAGACATCTGCAACTTGCTCGAACCTAGAGTCGTACTAGTCTGCAATTGTTCTCGATTCGAAACCGACGGTCTGTTGATGGCGGATCTCCTTGTTTCCTCCATTGCTGAAGCTGGCAAAATTGAAACCCACGCATGGCCTTCGGGCACAAAAGTACAGATTGTGAAGAGTTTTCACCCTAAGTTCGTTGCCAAATGCCAACTCTTTGAACAACGAGCGTTGCGAGAACTCCTCTTCAGGCTGATAGTGGCAATGGCGGTGAATCTCCTGTCAGGGAGCGAGGTCCGAGGTCCTGGGATTGCGCAGTTGCGCAAGACTGTATTGGAAGGTACACGAATGGGAGATCAAGGGCCCGGATCGACCTAAAGTTTAGCAATAAACACAGGAGCCCGCAATAGTGGAAAAGCACGGATCACTTACATAAACTTGCTCGGGCGTTGTTCACGTGATGCGAATTATTCCAACGCAATATGGTAACAAATATATTGGCAATATATATGAATTACTAACGCAATACCCATGCTAATTAAGATGTTACAAGCTCCATTCTCACCAAAGAGGAATTAGAAATGTCATTATCGGTCTCAAATGGTCCCAGGAAGGGCAGCAATCTGGTCAATGCCCTCCCTTCTTCCTCAAAGCTGTGGAAGTTACGTCTCATATTACCCAAATTCCTGATCAGGTTGGCAGCCTTCATCAAACATTCCTTTTTAATGACTCGAACCAGCCCATGGTAGCCTGTTCTAACTCTTCAACAGTCTTCCCAGAGTTGACTGGACGTTGGATCATGGTGAAAAAACTAACCAGCCTCGACCTTGGGGCATTTCACAGCCTCGATAAAGATAAACGCCAGGTATATCTTGGAGTCATAGATCAGCTTCGGGAGTTAGGTGTTGGCGAAGATCTCTCTCTACCCCAGGTGGCTCCCCTGAGCAAAGTCCCTTGTTGGCTCGAATTCTGACTGAAAATAGCTCGTCGTTGTGGGAGACCAATCCAGCGGGAAATCGTCACTGCTCGAAGGTCTGACTGGTCTTTCCTTCCCAGTCGCTAGTGATCTGTGTACCAGGCATGCTACGCAGATTGTTCTTCGCCGTACATCCGCGCATGAGTCAGCAGTGCGAGTGTCAATCATTCCTGGGCCTAGTAATATCAACGATGCTGATGAAAAAGCACGTCTTGAGCAATTTGCACGATGTATTAAGCAGACATCATTTGGTGCAGATGAGTTTGCAGCAATTCTGAACGAGGTGAGTGAGCTCAGAAGCCATAAAATTCGCACCTGCTAAAGCCTGTAAGGCTTCCGAATTGATGGGGCTTCCTCGAGCGGATACCACGAGTGCAGATCAATGCGAAAAACGATTCTCCGACAATGTCCTAAAGGTTGAGCTTTCTGGGCCGGAGCATCACCATCTTAGTGTTGTGGACGTGCCTGGGCTTTTTCATAGTTGGTGATCTCTCTCCCGCTACATCAATAGTGGCACTAATCTGCAACAGATCCAACGATCTACCAGACCAAAGAAGACCTCGAGATTATTCGTAACCTGATCATGGACTATATCTCCGATACTCGCACCATCATTCTGTAAGTCCAGCAAGAACAATGGACTTTCTGTGATACTGATTCAGCGTAGGGCTGTCATGGATGCACGCAACAACCTTGCCAACCAGGAGGTCTTCAAGATGGCTCGTGGCGTAGATCCTCGCGGCGATAGGACGGTAGGAATTATCACAAAGTGCGATGTGGTCCAAAACGGTGACGAAGCAGGGGTAAGGAATCATTTCATCATTTTCAAGTCCGATATAGAACTAAAGTTCGGCATCAGGTCATTCGAATCGCACAAAATTCTGTCGAAAACTTGCAGCACGGATGGTTTGCCGTTCGTAATCGCTCCCCGTCTGAGATTAAGGAAGGTGTGTCGTTAAAAGAACGACACGCCAAAGAGCGTCAGTTCTTCGCAACTAGTCCGTGGGACGCATTGCGAGGTGATCGTGTGGGCATTCCCGCCTTGAGTGGATTCTTAGCTCAGTTATTGTATGAACACATCCGCCGCGAATTTCCAGCTGTCGTCGCTGAGATTGAGCAACATTGCCAAAGTCTCCAAGCCGAAGTTGAAAAACTTGGTCCTCCTCGCCAATCGACCATGGAGCAAAGACAGTACTTGACTCAGATCTCAAGCCGCTATCAAAAGAAAAAGGCGGATTACTTGAGAGGCGTCTACGGGGACAATCTTTCTCCAGATGACCCTCTCAAGTTGAGAATGCACATACGGGACCTGAATGACGCCTTTGCGAAGAGAATGTCTACAAAGGGTCACACCCGAGCGTTCAGACGGACCGACGATAAAATGGATCCAGAATATCATTTGGGAACTACTGAAACGAGCACTATCTACGATTGGATACGAACTTCATATCTGGAGTCTCGTGGCTGTGAATTACCTGGATGCGTTAATCCGGCCGTCATCGAGAACCTTTTCCGACAGCAAACAGCCAACTGGCGGGACATCGCAAAAGAACATTTAGCCAAAGTCAACTCAGCAGTCAATGAATTTCTCACTGCTATCTTTGGTCAGTTAGTCATTGATCCAACTGTCCAGTACCAGCTAAGAACTCATCTTTTACCGATGTTGGAAGATTCCAACATGCAAGCACATCGAACTCTCGAAGACACTCTCGAAGATGAGAGAGGCGGCATACTTCAGACCGTCAACCACTATTTTGCTGAAAATCTGACCAAGGCTCGAGAAGACCGTGTGCTTTCACGCCTGCGCAAGATGGGTTTTCATGAAGGACATGCAATGCCTGTCAATCTCCCAGAACTCACGAAAGCATTACGCTTGGGTAATGACGAACAGACAGTCTACGACATTCATGACATCCTTAAAGCCTATTACAAAGTGGCCATCAAACGCTTCAATGACGAAGTCGTAACAGGGGTGGTGGAGCGATCATGGCTTGGCCAGCATGGGTTCGTTGATATCTTTGACCCTGAGTTTGTTGGTGCGCTTTCCGATGAAGAAGTCGCATCTATTGCCGCCGAGAATTTTAGCACTACAAACACTAGGTCCGAGTTGAGGGAAAAGCTTCGACGCTTTGAAGAGGCACGACGAATCGCGAAGTCAATCTGATTTGCGGTTCGATGGTCATCTCCAGGCAAGGTTTTTGCCGACATCATTGCCGGGTGTTTTCCTTGTCTCCAGCGCGAATGTGGGAGATGACATTTGACTTCCGCCCAGGAGTATATATATGAGGATCTGAACATAGAGGAAGATGCTAAAGCTATACAGCCGTTTACAACTGAACTCAAGTTTCTTCAGGAACTTAAACCTAGGAAAGAAAATCGGTGGCCTAGTGTTATGATCTGAACTGCGAACAGTGTCTGACCAAGGTAGTTCCTTGATAGAGCGAGTATTAACAGGTGGACCAGGTATGAACGAAGAGAACTTTTGTGTTCGGTATCCTAAATGTAGGTATAGGATTGTTAACGAAGTTGACTACGAGTAGTCCTATCTAGTCTAAGGAGCGTGTATATATAGTGCTAGCGTCCTCAGTGCTCAGGGGTGTCCTCAGTCATCCTCAGTGTGCTTGGCACTGAGGAGGCTGTATCCCCCTGATGACCACTGAGGACCACCTTCTGGTCACGTGACTCAGCCTTGCTTGTCAGGCTGAGTTGCGTCATCCTTGTTTGGTCTCGGCACAGCTGCCTAATCCCGCTGGTCATAAGTAGGCCCGCATATGCTGTTTGTAACACCTAGGTTAAGTTGGAAGTACTGACATCTTTGCCCTAAGATTTCTCGAGCTTTCTTTCGCACCCTGATGGGTTCGGCCTATTGACTTTAGACTTAGTCTAGACTCATGCATTCACCTAGCCACGAATTGATTACATCAAATGGTGTTGATTATTAGGGATATTGATTTATGGGAAGGGTTCGGGCCTCAGCTGGCGCATATTTTATCAACAAGAAAATCCCGTGCAGATTACCCGCCTTGGTTGGATAAGACGGCAGGAGATGCATCCGATATGTCTATGCGGCGCTCGGCGGATGGTCATTCTGTGGCTACGGTAGCTAGTTGTGGCTGTAATGTTACTATAACGTTACGAATGATCATACTCGAGTTGGTGCTCGGCTGTTTAACCATCCCAATTGAAGTATCGCGCAGGGGATCTTGGGGGCAGTGTACAGCAGCCCCGACTGTCGACAGTGTTAGTAGCCGGTTTGATAATCGGTTCTACAATCAGTAGACGGTGTTTTACGTACACATCATCTTGGAATTGGTGAAAGGTACTGTATGTATTAAGCTCTCGAGGGCGTCGAAACTATTTTCACCCAGTTTGTAGATAGTTCACGAAAGCAGGGCCCAGAGTACTAAATGTTGGTATTTATGTATAAGAGTGGAAACAACAATAGGGTAATGGATCGGGAGTATAGTGCGATTCTCATATAGCTGATCCCTACGATGAGTGGTGTGTCGGTGGTGGTGGCACTCGAAGTACCATGGGCGTATTTCACCACACTAGGATATCGATTACGCTAAATGTGTACGGATACTGTGGACGGAAGTGGTCGAAATTGCTCCAACAGTCCCGTCCTAATTATCACCTTTGCTTCGCGTATGGCGGTTGTTGGGCTCCACAGAATCTGCTTGATATCCATTCATAGTCTTGCCTGGCCCCATTCTTTGTTGCTCTTCACACCAGTTCCGGCACTCCAGACCATTCCAGAATAAATGACAGCGAGTGCCATTTATGGGCCAGTAAATTCGACCACGATGAAGGATGCGCGTTTGAGGGTCACACTTGGATCATCGGATAGGCTTATCGTAAAAATCTCAAAGGATGACCTACCCTTCCTAGCCATGCACTATTTGTGGTATAGCGGAGATCCGCTCATCCTAGCGCTAGCGAATGAGCGCGTTGGCCACTACCTTAACCACAACACCAATAGGAAGCATAGATTGCGAGATGACAGGGCAATGAGTTTTGGTCTACCAGCCCTTTTACAAATGTCAAAACGCAAATAGTTTTTCGAGAAGTCTATTTTAGGTCCTTGTTACTACTTTGTTAGGTCACTATGAGTACTCCCAATCCCCCCACCCCTGAACTCCCCAGTTTCCTTCGAAAAGAGGCACACTGCTTTCTAATTACAAATGAAGTCTCCGATTCCGAGAAATCACATTGCTTGCCAGAGTATTCATCGTTTTGTGATTGAAGCTCTTGGATTCCGAACTGAGACATTGTGCACTTGCCTTGCTGAGAGTCGTGACATGTTATGTCAACGTTACCCTGACCGGGCCCCTCAAATTCTTGTTTTCTACGCCCAAGCTATAGAATTCCGGCAAACCCTCTTGGATTCTTCGCGGAGATCCGAAAGTTTGGACGAAGAAGTGAGGTGGTTCGATGCAGAGGAAAATTCAAGGCCCGATGGCACCCAGCATTCTCAATTATTCAGCCTGCCAACACCGGTGGCTGAAGAAGCCGGGGAACACGACTCTATATTAGCAAGTGCAGTCCAAGGTATGGAATTACGGAATGAAGCCCATGTCCGATGGGGAGAAGGTTTGGATCTCGCCCCTTGCCTGGAGACTAATTCAGAAGTCGACATTTCGTCCTCCAAATCTTCCAACACTATAGACGACGAAGACCAGAACGTCCGCTTCCGAGAAACCATGACATTGAGCAGTGCGACGACTCGCCGAATCGTGTCGCCGCAAACGAGTGTGTGCACAGATATCCACTCCGTGGGTGAGGCGGATCAGGGATTTCGTCGAGAAACAGGACCTCAGCATGATGCGACCTACTATCGGAAACTAAATGTGCAGGCCATTGAACGTAGCTTGGACACAGAGGATGATAGATCCCCAACTATCGATTTTGAGCTGTCTTTCCCGGAAATACAATCACAGCAACGAACGGTATCATTCGCGGAAGCTGCACGCACTGTGATGCACCGTGAGTGGGGAAGCGAGAAAAGGTCAGATGATGATGAGAAGTTGGGTGTTCAGGAAGAGATGCAAGAGCAAGGAATTCGAAACTCGATGGAGAGCTATGCAAGGGGGAAAAAGGAGAATGACAAGGGTCGAGCAGAAGACGAAACGGACGGAGAAGAGGCAGGCAACAATGACGAAGACGACGACGAAACATTCAGCGCGAGTCCAGACCGAGTACGAGAAAAAGAGCTGATAGAACCTGCGACCGTACGACTTGCGGGTTCCATTGAGTTAGGAGAGCGCTCAAGCAATCATCAATCCAACAAACGACCTGTTGAGTGTACTGTTAATGCAGGTCCTTCTTCAAAACGTACTAAGGCGACAACACATGTGGACAACGGGTCCCTTACAGCCGGTGCTACCACTACAAGCGCAGAAAACCACGTCGATCAGTCATTTTGGGACGAATGGGACATGAAAAGAGCAGCCATGACCAACCATGATCAGCAGACTGACCAGTCTGTCAAAGCTGCCCGGGTGTGGAGGCGTCTCTCCGCGAAACAGAGTTTGGGACTTTCCCGCAGTCGAAGGGGACAAAACACGTCGTTGCGTTATGTAGACAAACTTGTCACGATGGTTATAGCAGTCGCCAATTGTTATGCCTTTGGAGCGCTGAAGGAGGTCATATGCCTATTACAACAGGACAGAACAGCTAGGACCTCCGAGCTGTTCAGTAACGATCCTAAGGTTCTGATGGAAACAGTGAGCACTATTGAAAAGGCAAGTCACTTACACAGCTACATACGGCGATTCACATTGGCGCGTTTGGCCAACATTTACGTGAGATCAGTGGCAAACGGAGGACGATTAACCCTCGACGAGAATAAAGCGTACTCGTCGCAACGGCTGGCGGGCACCAACGCACGCAAGGCTGCGACCTACAGTGCTATGATCCTACATATCTGGGGAGTGCCATTCCCCGCACAGAATAAGGGTGCCAAAATGACAAAACGAGGCTTTATTGATGCGTTCGCTGCTGATGCGATGAGGTGGAATAAATGTAAGGCCCGACTCCGTCACGAAATCGACGCCGGTCAGCGCTGGCTTGGCATGGCCACAAGATTTGGCTGGTCCACCCTTGGCTTGATCACACGAGAATGGTCGGTCGGAGACAAGAAAGTGGTAGCCAGTGATAGGATGTGAGTACGGCCTTCACAGGATTAGAGGGGAAAGCTAAAACGGATTACAGTTTCGAGGAAGCGCTGTCGATTTCAGAGTACGATACCCTGTTAGACGAAATTGACACCGCAAAAGGGCAGTTCCTTCGAGAGCTTGACAAAGCGTTGGGCATGAGCCTTTTTGATTTGTTGAAAGACCCAAAACGGGCGCAGACTCTTCCCTTGTTGCAATTAAAAGACCAAGACATCACAACACGACCAGATTGTGATCCACAATGGATCAATGAGTTGATCTCTGTGGCCGACATTTCAGCTCATGATAGATTGTGACACACTATTTTCCCATTGCCACTCTTGTTTGATGAGCGAATCAGCGTCACCTACAATCGAACACCACTTGTGCGAGGCAATTAGGATTGACGATGTATGGAAGTTGATGCACCTCGGCGAATGTGGAAGAGATACTAGAGACTCATTGCCCAAGAGCTGAGGAACAGCGTGATTATGCCACTCAGTGGCGAGGCATTTTGAGGCACTCGCGCTCATTTGCAGTACTGTGTCTTCTTTCCGTCATATATACAGACAGCTTCGAATGTATTTAAAACACTGAAGACTGGAGAAGAAAATCCCTCGCATCCTCAACGATGTCGACCATCTGGACATATCTATAATCCCTCAATGGTCTCGTTTAACTCCTAGATCCACTGGCAATAATGCACCGCTAATGGGACTTGGGTGCTAAGGTTATGTACCAACGCGCTTTGACAGCTCCTGCCGTTCGATCTGGGAACTCTTCACAAATCTCGCTCCAAGGCTCACCACTCTGCTTCATGTCTCTGAGCTTCTTGTCTTCAACTTTGGACCATCGCCCTCTCGTCATCTGTGGTATTTCTCCGTCGGTTTCACTGTCGGATGGGCAGTGATGGATACTGTGAGCAGTCTGGGAGGATCGCTCACTACTGTCACTCGCGCCGTCGTCGCTCGGACTGTCCATCGCCGAATCGAGGCGCCGACCCTTTGGAGACTGCGGAGTTTGAGTGGGCCGGGAAATCGTCGCTGTCAGCAACCAAAGAGCCGATGTCAAGGGCTTGACGCTGGCATTGGTTAAAGAAACCGCGATATCGTCGGTAAGTCCAAAAGCGGCGGGCGACTTGAGCAGCGGTCCGACGGTCGTGAGATCATCAACAAGAGCAGTCAAGTACCCACTGTCATCCGGTCTTATGGGGTGGACGCTGAGGTTAGTCAACAAGGTTGAAAGCGGAGACGACTTGACGCCGTTGTCTTGGAGGGCTGCTGGGCTTTCTCGAGGAGTTTTCTGTATCTTCTGCAGCTGGTCTGAGTTCCGGTGAGGAATGAGGATCTCTACAGAGCCACGGTCATGTCGCTTGCCACTCGTTTTCAAAAGCTTAGATGGCCGAGAGAGTCGTGACGTGCTTCGCCTCTGTGTGACATTCTTGGGCTTCGCCTCATTGATGTAGTAGTCGTCACCAGCAGCCCAGTCGCTCGATTCCGAGTCGCTCAGCACCCTCGCCTCGGGATTGCCTGCCAGTGGTCGGTTGCGCTTGGAGAGAGTGGCGGACATTGTGGGCCCTTTACGCTTCGTAGTTGTTGATGGATAGTCCCTCTCAAGGTGGGAAGGTCGAATAGATATACCAGCTTTGTATCGGGGCACCTTGATCGTTGCGGAAGACCGAGCATTCCGCAGGGTGGTGTGGAGAGTCGAAGGCGTACGCAGTGATTGGCCAACTGGTGAAACCGGACGGATGCTCCACTTTGCTGACCGCTGAGTCTCTTCAGTCGCCCTACGTTGCTTTGCAGCAGGCGTAGGACCAGATGGAATCCCACTTGTCTCTAGGTCGCTGGGGATCAAGTCGACATAGCGTAATCCCGAGTCCTCAGTCTCTGAAATCTGCAGGCTGACTTCACCGTCGTCACAGTCCTCATCCGATTTTGCCCCTTCCTCTGCGGCGTTGTCGATCTGTACATCGCGACAGTCTGTGGAATCTATTGTCTCCGTTCCTGAACTGCTCAGCGTCATGGTTTGTGGTTTGAGCACTGGTGTACTTTGGATGCCCATCATGGTCGAATTTTTTCGAGGTTCCTCGAGGACATCCAAGTCTGCGGAGGATATTTTTTGGGCTAATGACTGGATCGATCCAACGCCGATAGGGCTGTACTGGGTGGATTCTCCTTTAGAGCTAGACTCTTTGGCTGTTGAAACATGAGAAATTAATGATGTGTCCAACAATGCCAAATACACGGGCTTTTGGAAGAGGTTCTCACCTGTAGACTCTGATTCTAGGAAATTCGCTTCCAATGTTGAGGAATCCAAATTTTCGCAACCAGCACCTGGAGAATCAGCGAAGTTAGATGTAGGTGACTTAGGATTGTTGACCGATTCGCCAGGCTCGTCAAAAAGACTGTTAGGGGTGAGATCGGGCAAGGAGCATTTCTGGAGCATCACTTCTTGAGGACGTGGAACCTGTTGGCGTCTCGGTTTCACGGCCGGGGGCACGGTATAGTGAATGATATCCAGCTGGTTGGCTGCGGAGGTGATCTTAAAAGTAGAATTCATCGTGAAGGGACAAAGCACAAAATCGATTTTCAGCGACTGGAAACTCCGGGAGATGGAGAACTGCTGGTCTTTTATAGTGACACGCAACACTTGCTTCGCCTCGCCGCTCGCCGCGAGAAGTTTCAGAGAGGGAAATGGCAGTCCATTTCAGGCGTCAGTCCATTTGCAGGCGGTCTTCAGCTTGTGCCTCCATGCGGCCATTGAGCTTCCGCTTACAGGATAGGGGTAGGATGGCTCTCAGGTCCCATAGATTAGCAGTCCCGAACGGGAAATTTCCACATCGGCAATGGTTTTTGCCCTAGTAGGAAGTTGACATCTCGTATCCAGAGCCCGGTTTATCCTTGGCTTCATCTGCCTCGTAAATGGCTCTTTGCGGTAGAAGGATGGCCTGTTCTGTCTCGGAGCTGCCACCTTAGCGCCTCTCCCGAAGAGTAGCAGAAAGGGAAGATCAGGCTCCAGGCATCAGCAGAGACCCACGGAAATCTCGATATGGTACGATTGGGGTTTGAGCAGGTTTCCAATCCGCCTAACCGTGCCTTCCACCCACTCCCCCTAAACCTCAGACATGGACTTAAAAGGGGCGTGGGCGGACACCAGCTAGTATTTCCAGGTCCATGTACAATAAATAGCGTGCTATAAACCGTCGATATGTTGATCTGAGGCCTGTAGTGTCGGAGTTGTGGCCATTTTGATGCTGGTGCAGGAGATGGCGTGGTAGCAGAGTCGTGACTCATGGGCCAGGGCCGCAAGCGTCCGCAGTTTACAGAGCTCGAATACTCCCTGCCGCGCGTACGAAGCGGTCTCGAATGTGTAGCTAGGTCCAGCGCTCCAGGATCCCTTAACCACGAGACCGTGCGCTCCGTGACTTGTGTGCCTCGTCCGACGCAGGATCTGCCTGCAGCAGCCAGGACGCCAGTAATTTGCCTGGCTATATTCGTCATGTAACCTCCCTCGCTGATCCACAATGGCGCCGCCAATTTCACGAGAGTCAATGGCATCGTTGAGCACAGACGAAATCAACGTACAAGGCCGCTTGGAGACATGAACCGGCTCAGCTCGAGAACACTCAGCCCCTCAGGCAGCAATCCATCCGCTCGGCCGCCATGACAAATCATGCAGGAGAAACCAGCCGGTCGTCCTCAAGGCCGCCTAGAACGCCACCTCGAGTGGGATAACCGATCTCTCCTGGACAGCTCACTGGAGGCTGTTCAGGTCGTCGCCGGCAGGAGAAGCTGGACACGGGAGACCGCGATCCTGCCTCCAGTGAGCCAACACTGTCGCGCGAGGAGAGCACAACATCACAGCAGGCGGCTCTTAGCGTCATGCGGATCGCCACGATTGCCTGCCGAGGATGGACGGATTCCAGGGAGATGAGCGGAGCTGTACGCCGTGGCAGCGACGCAGAGACTAGCAGGGGGCGGTGGGGGGGACAACAGCCCTCAAAAGCCCTCGCCGTGGAGACCAAACAAAGGACGTCGACACAGCAGGGGCCGGTGGACAGGGGGGATTAGGGGCGCGCAGACCGACGAGACTGAGTGAGGACGAGGAAGGGAAGATCAGAAGGGGGACCTCGCGGGGCGAGGGGTCGATTTTATAGCGGCGCGGGCTTGGCGTGTGGCGCAGGCTCCTTTGGGCGCCTCGGTTTCCCGATGCGTCTGCACCACCAACAAAATAACTGGCACTCTGTTCGCTGTGCTTTCCAGTGCCAAGGACGGATGAACTCACCTCCTTGTGGGGCGCTTCCTGCTACTTTTAGATGGAAATGCCACAGATATGTCCAATTGGTCCACCCGAACAGAATATTGCCTTTCCTCTACCGTACGCGGCGACTGTAGATCTCCAGGATTGAATTGATGGCAATATTGGAAGAGAAAGTTCAGGGATAGAACCTCCTGACAGCCACTCAATATTTAAACGCAGGCAGAAATGACCATCGAGGACGTTGATTTATGCATTCTCCGTATCTCCCGTATATACGCTTTCGTAGGATTTCCAAGCCTGTGGAATGATTCCCAGAGCCCTTCCGTCCACATGTCGTGTCTTGTTCAAGACTTACATCACATACAGGGAGCCATGTTAATAAAGATTCGTCATTGTTAGGGGTACCAACAATTCGACCGAGAATAAAAAGTGCACAGTTAGACGACGTAGTAGTTACATCTACAACCCTAGCCTTGCCTAAAAATGTATTTTCGAAATTGCTGTGGATGTATGTTATTGGTTATCAGTACCGACACTATCCGAATATCATATCCGCCCTCTTGATTGAAATCGAGAATTATGTAGTCCAACATATGGATGTGTTGACCATTAAGACTCTCCCAATACTGTGGGAGTAGTTACACACGGTGCGCGTGGAGATTAGTTCAGGCAAACACATCCTTGCCGCCAAAACTGTCGAACTGTTGCCGACCACCACTAAGGGGATTGCAGTTGTGGACGTAATCAGATAGAAAGCGAGGCCACGGCAAAATTACAGCTTTCGGGCTGACAGAATCAGCAAACCAAAGACCGTTGATCCAGGACTTGATTTGAATGCGAGGTAGAGCGTCATCTGTCCGGCTACTTTCATCGACCTGTAATGACACATACTTGTCGAGGAATCGACTTCGATGTTCAGGAAACCTGTCTTCCGCGGCTTCGCAGCTCGTAAAGATTAGCGAGGACGTGTTATGCCGCTTGTTTTTCACGAACAGTGCCCAATTCTGATCGTGACCCACTAGTCTGGCAATGATGAGTGATTGGTGGGCCTCCATGGCTTTGGCAACCCTCTCAGCCATACTGTCAAAAATCTCGCGTAACCCCACCGATTCCATATTGCTCGGCATCTCACCAGCAAGATAGGCTTCAATGTTATTGGCTAGTTCGCTGTATGATGAATCGTGCAGCCAGTTAACAAGCTGCGTGAGACTGTCCTGGTTTCTCGCTGTTTGCCTTGCAGGCCAGATAATGCTTTCAGATTTGAGGACCTTGCACACAGTCCACAGATACCCAGTTGCTTGGATCCCTTCCTCACACATCACAACATCACTCAGTCTGCACCGTTTCAGAAAGGTCAACTTCCTGTCGACCTTTGGTGGGTCAAATCCTTGAAATGACTGTTCCTTGAGAAATTCAAGAACAGTCCCTGGGAAATTGCCATATACTGTAGGCCGAAGAATCTCACCGTTGAGAATAAACAATGCAAGAATTGCCAGACTCAAACTACTCAACTTGGCTGAGTTGAGACTTTTGACGTCTAGGCGTGTTGCATACCCACAACAATTCGCCATGATCGCCAAGGTGTCGGACGATATCCTAGATGAGCGACGCGAGATATCTGCCAAAATCCGTGTAGACATGGCACGACCTTCGCTATCGTCGCCGACCATCCACCCATACTTCTGTAGCATATTGTATTTCTTAGCTCTTTGCAATACCAATTTGCATTGCCATTTGTCCCTTTTCGACCTCCAGATACCTCTGTGGTGGGAAGCCATGCAGAAGAGTGTGACCTGCTGCCGGAAAAGAGCAGCGTTGATGGAAAGCTCACCGTCAATTGTGCCGAACACCCGTGGACCATTGACTTTGCTCAATCCTGGCAGGTAGGGAATCAACAGCTGCATGCGAGCCATAGCACAGTATTCTTCTTGAAAGATCCAGCGACGAGTCCACCAAGGATCGCACATAATCCTGAAAAGAACATCTAACAATCTTCGGGCTTTTGAAATGTCTACTTCGGCAGCCAGCTGAGGCACTTGAGACACAGAATGCCAAACAACGAGGTCTTTCTTGAGAAGGGCGAACAACAAATCAACTTCGTCTTGGTATTGCACAGGCGTTGATAACATGCCAATTGGATAGAGACTGCGGCGGTAAATCACATCCATGGACTGCATGGCAACAACTTTAGCTTCTTCATCGTTCTGCTCAATACATTCTTGGTCAATCCAAAATGCCGGTATGCCACCAGAGGCTATGTACTTAATCACACGATCCAGAATAACATCTCGTACTTGGGCGTGGTCCGATCTGTCCGGCTGTTCTCGCATGATGGTGTATCCTCCAGTTGTGTCATTTTCATAGGCGGTGGGTCTCCATGAATACGAAACTGCAGCGAACCTGCCGTCGGCCTCTGGCAAAGTAACTTGGTTTAAGATGCGACCTGGCTTTTGATGAGTTCCGTGACTTGGTATTGACAAGCATTTCAGTGACCGTATGTGGGTAAAATCTCGTGGGCATGTCTTTTGATATTTCTGAATTTCGACCAATTCGCATACTAACGAAGTCGGGCGTGAAACACGAAGCTCGTCAAGACTGCGACTTATGTCATCATCCATGGCAATATGAGAAACAGAGCGCAGGGTACAGAAAATTTACTGAGAACCTGAGGATCAAAGGGTATAGTGCCTTTCCCTCCTGTATCGATCCTTCACCAAACAACTAATATAAACGCAACACGGGTGGGCAGGCTACGCGATCGAAAAGTGGTGAGTACGGCATCTGCATCCACAGCTAGGGATGAAGCCTTTGAACGAATCGTAGAAGACAATCAGTCTAACCGAGGTTGCTTTCATGTCGCATGCAGGCCAGTATCTCCACAAATTTTCACACCGGTTAGAGCTGTATCTCTGTTGACCTGTGCATCGCTGGACACGTGGCACTGCCGTGGGCACAACTCCCATGCCGGCTCTCGCTTTTCGATATACTATACATCTGATGATATGGTCTATACATATTGGCTCATCTGACATCTTTCAGAGTCTTCTGAGCAGGGTTCCGTTGTAACCTGCGCCTGCACAGCTGAAATTATCACCTTGGTGTCATTATGATGAGTTATTGACGGCTTTGCGCTAACACGCCTCGCACCTCATGCCAAGACTGGATCGCTCGGTTACTCCCACAAAGCTTTGGGCAACCGACCCAAGCCACCTCCTAGTTCACAATGATACTATTGGCTATATTGACTGCCTGTGCAGATCTAACCTTAATTAGTCCGCCACTTCAATCCATGAGCGACATCACGCTCGTCAACATCTTGGCAATCTGACCTGTCACGTATTTGTTAACCATAAAGTGCTTGTTCCCCTCGCTTCACAGCTGAAGCTGAGAATCGTCAGATCTAGGTCGTCCTCATTCTCATATCTTACTACTAGCCTGCGATCGATCGATCTCGGCAACTATGGATAGCGTGCGTCCCACCTTTCGAGGAGCTGTCCGAACGCCGGCGGACCTCCTCGTGGTGGTTGAAGCCTGTTTACAAGGTTATCTGTCTCACACCTCAAGAAAGCCATCTCCCGAAGAATTGAATTATTTGGTTCAGGCAGGGAACACGTTTGTCTACGAAGAAAACGCATCAGGATTCCGAGAATGGGGCGACCAATTCCGCTGGACCTTGGTCGAGAAAGAGGGTGAAGTCGAAGAGTACATGTGCATCCCTTTCAACCTACGCAAAATTACTGCCACTATTGATTGGCAGAGATCCACGCACTTCCTTGTGTCATATCAACCAATACAATATTCCTATACAAGTGCGCCGAGAAAGCTATGCAACGATGAACACATTCAAACTCTGGCACCACGAAATGGACTCAGCTTCCAGAGGCACTCTAATCCGATATAGGTGGTCACCTCGCTTATCGCACGACCAGATATGTCCGACATTGGGACCCCTATCCATCAAACCATCAGGGCAAAGTAATGAGCTCTGAGATTTGCAGTATGGCTTCCAGGTAGTGCATCAAAACGCAAATTTTATTCGTCAACAGCAGCAGAAGAAGCTTTCGAGATTAGTACTTGGTGTTGTTTTTGAATTTACTGACTACCCAATGGCTCTCGCCGCAGTGTTAAATTTGACTGCCATGACGCTCGGTAGAACAACTGAAGGTGTTAGTTTAGGCTCTGCCAGGCTATGGCCATACACTTGTTCCCGGCAGTGGGACACGTATGCAGATACGTTACAACTTTAGCCTATAATAGGCCTCTGTTAATTTAGCTAATTTTTATACACTTCCAGAAACATGGGCCTTCACACCTGAAATCTTGGGATTTATGACTAAAACTGGTGTTGATGATAGCACAGTTAATTCTCAGCGCGAAGACATCTTGATAACAGCACTGGCAGTACTGTGTGGTGCGCCAGCCGTGGTGGCAGTCGAAGTACCATGGGACATATTTCATTGCGCAAGGGGTTCCACCACAGCGGCATATCGATTAGCTCTCGCTTGCGACTCCACGATCCATGCACTCTCACATTCAGAATAGACGAAGATGGCACCGAAGCCTGCGTTTTCTCAGACGAATCGAGCGTAGAATAACGCTACGTTCCACCGTCTATTCCCTGCCAACAGGCTATCCCGTGGTCGCCAACACATCCGTTGCTTCTGCCCTCAAGCGTTCTTATGCTATACCTCTACACTATACCGTCCCTCAGCTCAAGGTGGTACTTGGAAGATATTTATTCATGAATACTGAATGCGTGGTATTCAAGTGATGATGTTTGACTCCTGGTGAATACGGCGTGCTCGCTGGTGACCAGACAGTTGAATATTTAATTACGGAGGGGTCACTTTGGCCAGGCAGCGAAATTTTGATGAGTCCGAACGCTTCTTATTAGGCCATGAAAAGATTGAACTCCTGGGAGTTGCTGGCCCTTCAACGACTCAACAACTTCATGCCATTGGTTCCTTTGGCTCTTCCATGTGCTCCGCCTGTGTGGGCTTCTGTTCACAAGAATTGAAGCGCGTAGAGGGAAAATTGGCCCTTGGCAAAAGGGGACAAATGGCGAGAGAAGTCGAACATCACTTGTCGGGTGGTGACATAGGCAATAACAGTTTGGGAATATGCTTAAGTCCCTTAGAATCTCCCTCTTCAGATCCGGAAACAGCGACCAGCGTTATATTAGTTCTTGAATTTCTTAATATCCACCATCGAGTCATCCCACCATGTGATGGTGCAGTGCTGCCGATCATCGTTTCTCCTGACGGCCAACATCTCCCTGAGGTCATCAAATCCACCTATCTTGAAAAACCAATTTTACAACTGTGTCATCTGCCAGTACATGCCGCAGGATAAGCATCACAGGAACCACACCAATATTTTGATCCACGAAAAACCCTTAGTGCTATAATACGAGGTGGTCATTCAAAGAATACCTCGCTTAGAGGGAGTCGGAAGATGAGAATGGCTGAAGAATGTGCTGTCTTTCAGTTCCCATCAGTGGAAGAAAAACAAAGCCATGACTGCCAACGGGCGACAAAATGCGGTTGACAGTCACTGCTCGGGATGGAATGATGATACCGAAGGGGCACATCGTAGGCGCATAGAGAAGAGTCCCAGGCTAGGCTTCACCTCCATCGTCAGTAGTTTCAGAACAGGAGGAGCTATAACACAAAATCATGAACTCGAGCTGCATGATTCTTGAAGTGCAACTTCCCTTTCAGGACCACTCCAGCACAACCAAGGTCGTCAGGGCAGGGAATCCGATCGCCGTCCATGAACTGGTTGAGCCGACACCGGTCTGCATGCCGTTGAAGGGAGAACTTGCTTTTGAACCGTTGCTGTCGATCCTTCGTAGGAAGATTGCTCATCATGCAGAACAGACACTGAAATCCTCGGCATTTCAGAGGATTGCTGCGAGGCGTTTCTGGCCCTTTCCTGGAAGTCGCTTCGGGAGAATCCGTGAAGGGCAGAGCTGGAGGGGGGGTAATTTTTGCAGTACGACTTTCCCTTTTCTTACATAGTGCAATCATATTGCGGCAGCATTTGATGTGTCGCAACAAACTCTTCTCTCCGGTGAACCTTGCTGGATCACTGACGGCGGCCTCCGCGATTCGGCGTCGTTCGGGGATCTTAATCATCGCTTCCTCTGCAAGTATCGGTTCTTTGCAGTCAGGGAAATCTCCTTGGATCTGTCTCTGGATGTTGACCACGGGGGCGGTGATGTCGTACTCCTCCTGGATGTGCCTCAGCAGAGCGCGTTCTTGAGCGCGTACGGTGCTATTGATCGTCCGTCCCAGAGCCTGGTAATCATCGTAGACGGGCTCTCCCTCGGCCATCTTCAAGGCCCCGAACTGTCCTAGAATGTCCATGCGAAGGCGATCCCGACTCGCAAGGAGTTCGAGGATGGCTGGAGCCTCGCGGACCTGTACGCCTTGCTCTTCCGTGAGTTTTTTGGGCCGATTTCGATCGCGAAGCCGGCCAATCCGACTGGCAGCCTTGGCCGATTCGTGGCTGGGCTCGCGGTGCCAAAACGCGTCTTGCGTGCTATATCGAATGATTCGAGAGAGGTAATTACGTTCAAAGATCGCCGACGACCCCACGTGGTCCAGGACGAGGTTTCGAACGGCCGCATTGGAATTCGGGTCATCTGAATTTGTCCAGTCAGCCAAGGGCTAAGTGATAAGAGCCCCGTGCCAGAGCACAGTGTCGGAATCAAAAGAAGAGAGCATACCATTGACCGCATTCCCCAATGCCCGTCGGAGACAGTACGTGGTCAAAGTCTGGACATAGCCTAGGGCTTCCCCGAGCCGCTTGACCCAAGACTGGTAGATGCTATCTATCAGGCCAGCCGTGGGAGACGTCTGCACGCCTTGTTTGGTCTTTACGGCCCGCCGAAAGACCAGGGTATCCAGGATATCTTGCTTGAAGGGAATTTGCTGGCAACCACTCTCGCCTTTTGCCTTCAGGCGGAATAGGATATCGGGAGAGACCAAACCAGGAGCGGCAAAAGCTTCGTCATCAAAAGCCAAGCCCACGAGATGGGTGATGATACAAAAAACCGGATTGTCGTCGAGGTTGAACGTGTATGTCTTTCTGCAGGATGAGCTCACGTCAGTATATCGGGTCGAGGCAGATCTGAAAGCGTTCAAAGTCTTACGGTCGTTTCCTCTTCTTACCCGACTTGGTCTTGGTCAGCTTGACTCCGAGTTTGACGTGGTGGGTGTCGGTGTCCTGCTCCTTTTCGACGTACAGGTCGAGATCGCGGTACGTGACGCACAGTAAGGCGTGGGGTCGCGACCCCGTGAAAGCGGCGAGCAACAGGATCGCCGCCAGCTGCAGCCTCTGACGTTCGTTGTGGAAGACGTTGATATCGGACGCCCAGTGGTATCGGATCAGCTCCACAAACTCCTCGGCTTCGAGCAGAGGTTTCTCCGTGTCCATGTTGTCCAAGCCATATTCTTTCGTCAAAGGTCCTTCAATGAACTGTGGTCTCCTTTAGCCTCCACGCCCAGTCACCACACAGGGGGCCAACCCGTACCACAAAGATCTGCCTCAGGACCTGGGGATCCACCCGACGCTGTGTCCACAAGATGTGCAATTGGCTCAACTGCCGCCAGTACGTGGTCACCGTGCTGGTCTTTTTGATTGTGTAAGTCTTCAACATCCAGTGGAGAAAATTCTCCATCCTTGCCGGAATGCATTCTTGTAAGATTTGCGGGGGGTCGAGGTGGAGGAGAGAGCAGTACCTGAACGAGCGGTCAGAGATGCGGTATGTGTGACCCGCTTCCGTCGAGGGGGTGGAACTTACTCTTCAAAGAGTGCTCGGATTCGATCCACGTGGTGAAGGGTACTGTCGGCATAGAGGGTGACCGGTCGGACCGCGCCCAGCGCTTCTTGGTACTTGCCCTCGAGGAAATCTCGCGGACAGAGATTGGCAGAAGATCGTCCGAGGTATGATTCACCAGAGTCCAATTTGACCACGTGGGGAATCTTGCGACGCCCCATGAGTGACGAATGGGCTTAGGGTAGAAGAAAGGGATGACGAGGCAGATACCGCGAATGAAGGAAAAGAGACGCGTAGGAGGGAGAGAGAGGGACGGAGTCATTGAGACCAGACGTTTTTATAGTGTTCATCTCGGGATAAAATGCTGACCACGACCGTCTGGAGGTTCCCCACCACGCGGGGCATGATGGCATAGGTTGGTGAGACATCCGACGCCAGAGGACTCGGCGCTGTCAGGGCGAGGAAGTCATATACGATTGTGAGCAGGCACCGTGGGCGAAGAGGGCGTTCGGCCAAAGTCGTTGTTTAGTCTGGTCAATGTGACCGCCAGTGTGGTAGGGATGTTGACATGCAAGGATGGAGAGGAGGGTCAGGCAGAGGCGCAGGGAACTGGCAGGGAGACGGCCGAAAGAACGAAAAGCAGCCGAAAGGGATGGTGCAAAAGCGGCGAGGGGACGCGCTGGATGCGGTCGGAATGGGGGCGAAAACGGTGAAAGGGCCTCGCAAAAACGGCGACGCGGACCTCGCAAAACGGAAGCCTTTTCTCCACGACACGCACTTGGGAAATAATACTCTAACAAAATATATCTATCTTCTACTATATAAGGAAGTATTAATAGTAGAAGATTTAGCGTACGCTATAATAAGGACGATATTCGCACAATATAGGATATCGAACATTATTATTACCGATAGAGATAAGTTATTTAATTTACAATTCTAGTAATTACTAATAGACCTATTGGGAATTAAATATAAGATATTAACATTATATTACCTATAGATAGATGGATAAACTAAAAGAATAAACTAGACGATCGAACAATACTTATAATGCTATATTAACTATAAATAAAATAACTAGATTTAACTACTACTAATAGTATAATTCGCCTTTAACAACAATAAATTAATAATAGGAATATCATCTTTCTTTGCGAACTACGAGAGATACTTAGAACTATTAAGAAAAAGCCTAGAACTAAAACCTAAGGTAGAAAAAGCAAAAGTAACAGTGGATAAATTGAACGAACTATATTTCTTACTAAAAACGAAATTGGACAAAATAGTAAAAACAACCACGAAAATAGCTAACAAGAAAAGATCTAAGGGACTAGACTTCTAGGAGAGGGAGATGGTTTACATCAGTACAAAAAATATCAAAATATAAAGACTAAGCAAAAAACTCGACAACACGAAAATTGGATCGTATCGAGTTAAGAAAATACTAGAACTAGTGTTATATAAATTGCAATTGCTAGGGGGAATAAACATCCACCCAATCTTTCATAAGTCATTACTAGAAAAAGCACTACCTAATGTACGACCTAGACCAGTCTATATCGATAAAGACATCCAAGAACTATATTACGACGTAGAAAGAATCCTCCAATACCGCTAACAAAATAAATAAACGGAATATCTAATTAAATAGTTAGGGTATACGGAGAAGGAAAATACTTGGGAACTAGGAACGAACCTTAACTCGAAACTTATCGACCAATACTGGAAGAATCTTGAAGGATCCAAGGAACGCTTGGGAACGTAGCCTAGAACTGATCGGCTAGGCCGTCCCCCGCGCTCTAGGTAAATGGGGATAATATCAATCTAGTAGGGGGCTCGGCTAACTCTAGAATCTTATGGTCGTCGAGCTCGGGGCCCTAGGGGTATAACCGAGCGTCCTCTACGACAATAGCTTCCTCCGCTTCAGATTCTAGCTTCGACATTTCCTACCTCAATTTCACTTCATTTTAAAAAGCTTCGTCCATTTGACGACGAGCTTTAACTTAAGTAGTAACCGCTACCTCTTGAGCCTAACGGGAGGCCTCAATTTCCCAAAGCAACCTTTCCCTCTCGGTGTTACGAACTGCCAAGGGCGTAATGGTTCTTGGACTCAGACGTGGTTGGGTTTCGCGGACGGAAGTATAGGTACTTGCGGACAGATGTGGAAGGGGTGAGGGCTCAGGGTTCAACAGGTTTGAGTGTAGTAGTAAGATAATTATTGACTACGAGGAGTCTATGAAATGTTGGTGTAATGACCGTAACTATATACTCGTAAGATCCCCCCTGCTCTCCTACTCTATCCGCTCTATTGCTCTATCACAGATCAACCAGAGTACTAGAGCGCCGAAGCACATTACGTGTCTCAGCCTTGTGTGCCGGGGACTCCCGTCACATCATAGCCTCCTCGCCCGACCTGCCTCTCCTAGCGGGTCGCCATATAGGTTAAGTGTCAACCCGTAACACTTTCCCCTCCTTCTCCATGCGTTGGCCTCAACGTATATAAGGTGAGCCTACCCCCTTCCTACGCGTAAGTCCATCATGGCTAACAATGCCTCCTTAGCATTCTTCTAAGCGTAATTCCACCTAGCGTCGTTACGACCTTTCCCTCGCTATCGAAATCGAAGGATTCCTCGCTATGGTGGCCTGCACCAACTGTGCTCGATTAGGCGACCTCTATTATTTCTCCAAGGAGCGTTCCAAGAAGTGTTCTTGTTGTATTCGAAAGAACGTGGACTATGATAGTACCTTTTCCTTGGAAGAATTCCGGAAAGTGGGTGACCAAAAGAAACTGCTAAAAGCTAAGTCGCGGGGTAAACGGAAAGAAATCAGCCGGCTTCGCAATAAAAGAGTGTTAGCCTACGGGGCACTCCTAGAGGCCTAGCGTGCCCTTACGGCTATAGATAAGGAAATTGCGTCTAAAGAGGACGCTAACAATAAATTTAACGATGATTTAGCGATACTTGAGGAAACATCTAGGCAAATGATCCGTCGAGAGATACTAGCCCTCGGTGTCTTGGACACCGTATCCGAGAATGATGAAATCGCCCTAGCGGACCTAGATTCCATTAATATCGATTGGAGTGAGGTGGCCTAGGCGATAACTGGGACTAGTAATACCGATTAAGTAGATTTTGCGGCAAGTTCCGGGTAGGTTCCCATATATTGTATTGTTTGCTGTAGCCTAACCACTATACCAGGTAGCGTCGTTCGCCCTTCTAGCGTTCTATTTTGTATCGGAGGATTCGGTCTAGGACATAGTGTCCTTTAGGAGTTGGGTCTAGCGGTCCGTATATCCTATAATAAGCACGAACATCATTTATATCCAAGTTTTACAATGATTCCCATGAATTCTCCGAGTCCTCGTAACCTTTCCACTTAATAAGGTAGTACATATTATTAGTGTTATATTTGCTATTAATAATGGTTTCGATCTCGTATCGGGGTTCCTTAGTGTCTTTGTCGATCTAGACTAATCCTACCTTCGCATCTAGCGAATAGCAAGGTTCCAGAAGTGACTTGTGGAATACCGGGTAAATATCCATAATCGACGGTAATTCCAATTTGAAGGTGACAGGTCCTTATTTCTTTAGAATCTTAAATGGGCCTAACTTAGTATGGTCCAATTTAGTACTTAGTCGTTTTATCTTGATAGTTTTTCTGACCAGATAGACCATGTCTCCCTCTTTAAGATCTAGTCCCTTAGATCTCTTCTTATTAGCCTAGATTCTCATGCGATATTGCAGGAATCTCAGCTCCTCACGTAATGCCTTATGCAATTTGTAGATATTCGTAATATATACGTAAGCTTTCTGGGCGTATACCTTAGCCTCGATAGAATCTCCCGTAATTCTAGGGTGCCTACCGTATAGCGCATAATGCGGTGATACGCCTATTGCCCCCTTCGTAGTGTTAAATACGAATTCTGCCAAGAGTAAACAAGATACCCAGTCATCTTAACCGTAATTCATATAGCCTCTTAGGTATTGCTCCAAGGTTTGATTGATTCTCTCTATTTGTCCATCTATTTGCGGGTGGAACGAAGTCGAGAGCTTCGTCTTAGCCCCTAGGAGTTTCGTAAAGGAAGTCCAGAACTTGGATATAAACAGTTTATCTCGATCGGAGATAATTTCCTTAGGCATACCATACTTCGTATAGATTGTATCTAGAAAGAGGTGTGCAAACGTTTTAGTATCAGTGGTTTCTCTGAAAGCCCGGAAATACGCTGTCTTAATTAGTTGATCGTTAATTACAAAGATGGCGTCGTAGACTGTTCCGTCTACCGGGTGTGCGGATGCTAGGAGTTTCGTGATAAAGTCAAAGGCTATGGACTCTTAGGGTGCCTCTAGTAAGGGTATTTCCTATAGAAGTCCATAAGGTCGATGGCGAGCATACTTTATCTTGCTATAGACATCACATTTCTTAATATACTACTTAATATACTTTGCTAATTGTAGAAAGGTATAGGTGCGTATAATCCGCTCTATAGTTTTATCCATATCGGTATATCCTATATTTAGCATATCGTAGTGTAACCTAATCACTTCTTCGATTATACTCGTGAGAATATATACTAGTCCGTGTTCGTCGAGAAAAAGGTCTCCCATATCGAGATAATCTAAGTGTTTCCTTTTCTACGCTTTAAGGTTTGGGTCTCGGTAGCTTATCGCGACGATTCGATCCTCCTAGTCCGAATCGTCGGAGATAGTGTTGGTGGCCGCAAAGGCTCGGTTATATACCAATGAACCATCTTTGTCTTCCATTAGGATAGAGTCTCTTACCTTATCTGAATCTTCGAGTTTATAGTCGCTGCGGCGGCTTAGGGCGTTCGCGCGGCCATTTTCCGTTCCCTTCCTATAATTGATCTGGAAGTAGAACTCGGAGAGCTGTTCTAACCATCGTACTTATCGCCGGTTGAGTTCTTTAGTTGTTGTGAAGTACGTTAGGTTCTTATGATCAGTCAGAACCTAGATCTTATATTTAGCGTCGGAGAGGTGAACTCTCCATTCCTCGAACGCTTTAACTATCGCCAATAGTTCCTTGTCATGGATCTCGTATCGAAGTTCCGACCCAGTCATTTTCCGAGAGTAGTAAGCAATAGGATGCTACTTGCCATCCTCTAGATTCTACTAGTATAGATATGCGCCGATAGTAAAGTCGGAGGCGTCGGTCTCGATGAGGATCGGTTTATCGGGATCGAAGTGCCGTAATACCGGTGCCG